TCAATCGTTCATAGTATGTTCTATTTTTTGTGAAGCTTTTTGATCCTGGGGGGCCCTGGCAGCACAGGGCCCCCAGGACGATTTCCTACAAAGTTATTTGCATTTAAATGTAATTTTATTAAAAAATCTACTTTTGAAAGAGTGAATTCACATAGAATTTTTAAGGATGTATCAAGCTGGGTTCTAAGTTAGAACTTCCAACAGAGAAATATCGTAATATAATTTAATTTTACTTTAAAAGTAACGTAATTAAACAAAAATAGTGTTTGAAATTAAAAACAATACTTTTAAGTTACATTACATCTTAAATTAAATTACTTTTCTGTTAGAACCAGGTTTCACAACTAAAAGTTAAAAAAAAATAATATATTATAGCCTTAAGTGAGGATGATAATAGGCTAGTTACGGGCCTGTATAGGGCCATACTTCTTTATTTAAGTAAATTAATTTACTTTGAATTATACCTACACACCTACATTACTTTATTATTACAATTATTATTGAATTAGTTTCTAATATTTATATATTGACTAAATAATGTTTAGCTACGTTAAATGGGTGGTATATAAATAAAAAAATATCAAAAATTGTCATTACTTGTTCCTATCCAGCCATGTCTAAACAAAAAAATTCTTTTGAAGATCCATCTTTGTTAAGATGTATTAAAGTAATGTTTTTATATTTTTTTAAAAGTAAAACTACAGTTGCAGATATTGGTAAGTTAAATGTTTGAACTACCTATGTTTTATTTGTATTTATTTGTAATTTTTAAAATACAAATGTTGTTTTTTTAACTTTAATGTTCAAGAGATTATATAATAAATAAGTGTACCTTTATTAAATAACTTTTTAATAATTTATTTTTTTAGATTCTTTGATATGTTGTTTATTAAAATTGTTACATTTAATGTTTATGCCAATATCTTTATTCGACTTATGTGGCATAATCGTTTTTATAGAAATGATTGGTAATGTTTTTAACAGAATATATTTTCCCTTAAGTAGTGCCATTCTTTTTGTAAGTAAAACCAAATAAATGTTGTAGTTTTTGGAAATTTTGTTAGGTTCATGTCCAGAAACTGAACCGATCAATAAGAACTAACCACCAAAAATGTTTCTTTTGTTTAACAAAAACCAAATTATGTTCAGTCGTTAAATACTGTCAAAAATGGCGAAAGCGCTGGTATTAAATATATGAATTTTGGGTGTAAATTCTAAAAGTTCTTTCAGTGAAGACTATGAAAGTTTTAAGAAGTTTATTAAATTTAACACTATAAACACATATTTTAGTGAAATAAGTTTTAACCTAAAATTATTTAACTATTTAAAACACTATACTTTTCTAGGCGTTTAAAAATTACCAAAAAACATATATCATGTCGGCTAAAATGTTGTCCAAACTTAGTTTAAACCTTAACCATGTTAACATACACATAACCTCCTAAATCATTTTTAAACGGTCATTTTTCAATAGCTATTTGGGTCATTTTCAAGAAACACCCGCTTTCAGGAAAATGAAGATCAAATTTTTTTTGGCTTAAATTGACTTTTGGTTGGATTTTTATAAATGTTTACAGTGTTGTTTACTTACATTTAAGACAGGCAGTGCACTTTTTAATTTTTTTTTTACGTTTTTTTCAGAAAAATGTGTTTAGCTAGCTTTATATGTCTCCACTGTGTTACCAATTTGAAATCCAAAATTTAATTAGTTCACAAACTTTTGACTCCAATTTTATTTTTTATTAAAAATTGTATGCCTTTTTTAAATATTTATGTTAGTTAAGTTACCTACTTTTTAAAAGACACCATTCCGATTCTTTGTTAAGAAAACAATACCATTAATATTTTCTTTTAGTCACTGTATTAGCATTGAGTAAAGAAGTCTTACTCAATGGTATTAGTGAGTTAAACTCTAATTTATAAACAGGTATTACCACCAAGTGATAGTAAAATCATTTTAAGGATTTTTTTTTAACAAAAACTAAAAAAAGTAACGAAATAGACATTGGTATCACAACGGACTGGGGTACACAAAGGACTTAATCAGATAACGTAAAAAAGAAACTATATAGGGTGGTACGATTTTAGAGTAATGCATAAACAAAATCCCTTGTAGTGGTGCTCACTTGCAGAATAACAACTTAGATTTCTAAATTATAGACACCCTTTTTCTTTGACTATATATATAAGCTGCTGTCTTTTAGTACTCGTATATTGCGTGGAATTTTCGCTTGGATGTAATCTATATCATGAGTTGTTATCACAAATAATTTTAAATTGGTTTATCATAAACTACTTTTAATAAAAACGACTTTGTTGTCGAAAAATTCTATTGCGTTACCCTAAATTCCATTGCGTTACCATAAGGTAACATTACAGTCATTAATTACTCTCAATGAGCTTTAGTGCCCTAAAATAAACATATACATGAAAAATAGTATTTTTTCTTACCTTATTTTTATTATTTTTTTGAGTAACTTAGCGGACAAACAATTATTACATTCGCGTTACCCGCACCTGTTTCAACCGATTGAATAAATAAATTCAGCTGGGTAATGTGTACGTCCGAACATCATTTGTTAATCACGTGAGTGCCAAAAAAGTTGCCATATATATGTTTTTTTAAATGTTCTATCGGTAACGCGACGGACGTAACGCAACGGAAAAAATTTCTGGGACATGAGTCAAATTTAAAAAAAGTAGATTAAAATTAATTAATTTATATATAAATTAACTAAGGATGTTATGGATTGCTATAAAGCAACACAAAGTTCTGGTTATTCAATATTTAAAAAAAAACATGTACCTATGTAAGTTTTATAAAACGCTAATGGGACATGCGAAAATTTGTGTTTCACAAGTTTCAAAATTAAAAAAAAACTTTTCTGAAATAACTAAACAAAATTTTTCTGAAAGAGTTTACTAAGGGCTTGTTAGGCTTTCCCGATAATTTTTAACAAAGTTATTGGAATTCAAACTTACGGACAGCGGAAGGCGGGTGTTTTTTGAAAACGACCCATTTAACCAATTGGGTCAAAAGATCCCAAATCATCCCTGGTATTTGCTGACTGCCGGACACCCCGTATATTATATTATTAACACATTTAATTTTAGGTGCTAGCGGCTCGAGTTTATATTTTCAATATGCGTCCAAAAGTAATTGGGATTCTTCGTGATTTCATTGAAATGCAAAAGTTATCAAAAAAAGTCAAACTACCGAGTTTCTACCCAAAACTAATGATATTTTTTGCTTCTCAAGTATATTTAATTGGAGCACTAATTGTTCTTCTGGGTTCTTTATTTAATGATCAAAAAATCTTGTTTATCCATAATATTGATTTAAACCCTTGGATATTTCAGATTATTTATTTTTTAATTGGTATTTTTATTATTGTTATAGCTTCTGTAGTAATGAATAGTTTTTCTATATTTACTTTTTTCTTTATTATTCAACTAATGAAACTTCAGGCGTTTCTTCATCAAGATATTATATTGGAAGCGGAGAACAAAAGTTTTGAATTAATCTATGATGAGGAGTACCAGAAATCTATAAAATGGAAATTGAAATATTTTATAAGAATTTATTTAAAAATAAAAAGGTAAAAAGTTCATTAAAATATTTTGCCGCTTGCTTTATATAGTTTATTTTAGAATAATACAACTTATAACAAACTATGGCACACCGTTTGTCCTAATATTTTTCGTTATTGGATGTGTTATCATTTCGAGTATACTAATATCCTTGTATAGTGTAGATATAAGACTTTATTAATTAATATTTAAATTTAAAAACTTAAAATATTTTTTTAGGCTGAAAGCAATATCAGTTACGTAAGATCTTCTTTTGAAATAATAGTTTCATCTTGCTATCTACTCCCCTTTTTAATATTTGGACAAATTTTACAAGAACAGGTTCCAACAACAATATAACTTTACAACGCTGAGCCAGAATTCGTAAAATCAGCACGAAATAAATAGCTTCCTTATTTTTTATCGAAATGTTGAAAAAATTCTTCTATTTCATCATACATTTTGTCCGCAAGACTTAAAAAATAAAAAAGCGCCACTAAGAATAACAATCAATAAAAAAGTTTTTTTTATATTTTTGGGCACTATAGGTATATAATTATCGGACTTCTTTTTTAATTACAAACATCTTTTTCCTATATAATTGTTAAATTGCAAATTTCTCTTGAAACAATTTCATGTTTTCCTTATTTTTGAACACCCTGTAGATAAAATTCCAATGTTTTTGTGGCTTAGTCTTGAGCTGTAAAAATTGAGCTCTTTCTCAAAGGGTTACCAGTGAGCTCTTTCTCAAAGGGTTATCCAGTGAGACGAGATTTTACTTTTCTCCATTTTGATAAAACATAAGGGAAGCTATTTTTCATGCTGATTTTACGAACTGGGACGAAAATAAAAAACAAAAATTTTCTCTTTTTAGACGGAAGACATAAATGCAATACTGTTTAACTGTCCCTGGGTACTTTGGAATAAAGACAACAGGAGAACTTTGGTTTTGTTGATTCAAATAACTCAATACAGCAATTCTTTTTCATTTTTTGGATTGATTACTGTTAATTTTAAAATGTCTGTCGAAATGTTGAAGAAAGCCTACGCATTTTTATCTTTTTACATCAAATTGAAAGGATAAGATTAAAAAAGGAGGAAAACTGTTATTTAGTCAATTATTGTTTAGCAAAAACTTTGGCGCCCTCTATCTTGTTGGGAACTAAACACAGACAGATTTGCTTGTAAAGAAATATGTTAAAAATTTCAAGCTCTACATTTTTTGTCTTTAAACTTTTTTTGTCCGACCAATAGGAAACAAGATAAAACGGATAAAACACATTGTTGATGTTTGTAAATCATATAGTACTGGTAGAGCCATCTATTATGTACTAGCTGCAAAATTACAGGGTTCTGTTTATCAAGGAAAGGATTCTATGGTAAAAACGTTATAATACAGAAAGCATTTTACTTCTCTACCTGAAATCATGGGATGACAAAGGGAATCAACAAAAAACGAAAATCGTTAAACCAATTTATTAGTCAACAAATAATTACAGAAAAACTACAAATCTAATTAACAAAACCAACAATCAATTGGACGGACGAGTATTTTTTCACTTACCAACTAAATAAAAAATAAATAAACGAGATCTAATAAAATCAACATTAAAAGCTGTAAACTGTATAAAAATAGAGATCATTCAATATTTAAGTATAAGTTTGGATCGGTTATTTTCGGTAGTCTTCGGGAATCAACTTTTTCAGAGCACATCGGGCAAGAATCTTCGCTATCCAAAACTCTAAAAATATTATATTGTATTGTACATTTTTTGTTAATAAAAAATGTACAACTTACTCTACAAATTCCGATCTTAGAGCGGGAAAATCGCACTCTGGACAAGCTGTCAAGTCCGTGGTAACTATATGTCTACCCTAAAAATATATAAGTATTAAACAACATTTGCTGTTTTATTTTTAATAGTCAAGTAACAGTTTCCTAATTTTAATGTCTTCCCTTGCTTTAAAGATAATTGTATGGGACAAAACATTCAAATAATGTTTTGTATAAATGGCAACCCCGCAATAAACTGGGTACTTCCCAGATATATAGATCTATATCTCTGGTATTCCCTCTAGTCATCAGATATTTTACCGCAGTTGTTTGTTGAACGTGCCATATTAAATATTCGTAGCTAAAATGAATGATCTTTCATCCGGCATTGAAAGTTTACAACTATCCTCCAGAAGCGTGGAAGAAACTAAAATTATAAGGAAAAACCACGCCTTTTTAAGAGATGTTCTGTTATTCGCGCCGGAATTTGGTTCATGGAAAAATCAGACGTTCGACAAACCTTTTCATCTGGTTTTGGGCAAATTTCCGAGTGTCAATGAAAGATTTGATGGTACAATGAGGCTCCGTAATTATACAGTGCAGAACGTTGTTCGTGTTGAAAATCCATTTCTTCTGGCCCAGTATTATTTGAAAAAAATCCAGATAGAAAAACGAAATGCTACGGTGGGCGAGAAAAAGTATTTTCATGGGACGAAGGGGCATAATGTGGTGCCGATTTGTTTGAACAACTTTAATTGGAGTGAGTATTTGAATATTTTAATAACATTAAAAAATATTTTTCCTCACAATTTATAAATACTGGTTATAATTATTATTTATTTATTATTTTAAGGAAAAGTTGTAACGGGCAAATTTGGTCATGGCATAAGTTTTTCACCAAGATCTGATTATTCCAGACATTCATGTTCTTTTATGTTCAATTTAGAAAAGTCAGAGATAAAAAAATATTTATTTGCATATGATAACGAAATTAGCGATTATTATTATGCAATGTTTTACGTAAAAGTCCTTCAAGGAAACGAGCATTATGGATCTCATCACACATTTGTTCCTAATCCCGGATATGATACAACCACCAATGGAAAGGGTACAGTATATGTAAAATATGAGGATGCTGAGTTTTATCCAGAATATATTGTTTTGATGACATAATGGAAAATAATAAAAGCGATGGATTTAATTTGCACATTGAAATAAAAATACTGCGTAAAACAAAAATAAAAAATAAAAAATGTAACTTAGTGCTAGAGCTTGATAATAATACTTATAGCCACTTTATAAATATGTCAAAAATAAATATTGGTTGGGAACGTTGCCCTGTATATAATGATTATGGTATTATTATGTGTTATAAATGTTCAAAATATGGCCATATTAGTAAGGACTGTAAAGAAAATAAGGTATGTTCAAAATGTAGCGGTGAACATGATGTAACAGAGTGTACTAGTAATGTAAATAAATGTACAAATTGTGTGTCATCTAATAAAAAGTATGGATTGTCTTTAAGTGTAGATCATGTTGTATGGGATAGAAACTTGTGTGAAACATATAAAAGGATTGAAAATTTTCAAAAAAATAAATTTTATAAATAGCAATTAGATTTGGGTATTGCATTAAATCATAGTCTTCTTTACTTTAACTGTCAGGGATATTTAAATAATAAAGACAACATAAATGTATTAGTAAACGATTGGCGACCAAAATTAGTATTTTTGTCCGAAACTCATGTATGTGCAGAAGTAGATTTATGTGAACTAAACATTAAAGGCTACCGTATTGAACAGTGTGTTACAAATAACAGAAGAACAGGTGGTGTAATGGCTCTTATAAGGAATGATATTAAATATAAACTAAAAATTGTGCAATGCGTTGAAAATTTTGTGTGGTTATTGTCTATAAAAATATCTATATCCGAACTTAATTATTTGTTTACTGTTCTGTATCATCCACCACAAAAAGAAAATGTAAAATTTATTAATTATTTTAATAACTATCTAGACCAAGTTAGTACGCATGAGGGTATCAATATTATTGTCGGTGACTTTAATTATGATCTAACAAAATACTCTTTTTATGGTGATAAAATATTAAGAAATATATTTTCTAATGGTTTCACACAAATTGTTGATACCCCCACGCGTATTACAAATGTCAGTAGTACACTTATTGATTACATTATAACTAATAATAAGAATTTATCATTCAAAGTTCATTTATCGCCCAAAATAAGTGATCATTGCTTAATATCAGTTCAACTTGAACAAAAAACGCACGAGTCCATTACTACTGTCAATTGCAGATCAATGAGAAATTATAACACCAACAATCTACAAGACTACTTACTCGACATCGAATGGAACAATAGCTCAAGTGATGTAAATATTCTAGCAAATAATTTTATTAACGACATCAGCAGGATTTTTAACAAGATGTGTCCTAAAAAAACTATTTCTTTTTGTAATAAATATGAAAATAAAAAATGGATCACACCTCAAATTAAACAACAAATGCAAGAAAGGGACAGTTTATATGTTAGAGCAGTACAAGAAAAAAACAATGTTATTTGGTCTGAATACAAAAGATTGCGAAATTGCATTGTAAGTTCAATTAAATGTGAAAAAGACAAATTCTTTAAACAAACTATTTATGATAATAAAAATAATTCTTGTAAAATGTGGAAAAATTTAAAACTTTTGCTACCTGAAAAAATAAGCTCGTCACCTGCGGAAATAAATTTTGAAGGCACAGTCATAAAGAATGAATTAGACATTGCAAATAAGTTTAATAATTATTTTGTTAATAGTATAGTAGACATTGTAAGTGTTATCCCAAAACATCATGCAGTTGCCAGTAATGTTGAATTGTCCCCTGTATTCCATGTTTTTGAAAAATTCCAAAGTGTGTCAATGACTGAAATGAAAAAAATTATAAAGACTATGAAAAATGTTGGTGGTTGTGAAAGTGGAGTGTCAAAAAAAGTCCTTTGTGATATTTGTGATGTTGCGGGAAATCGTCTGTTGGATGTTTTAAATACATCCCTTTACACCGGAGTATTTCCAGAAGAATGGAAGAGATCCATAATTGTCCCAGTACCAAAGGTCCAAAAAACGATACTGCACAATCAGTTTAGGCCCATTAATACCGTCGAAGTCTACGAAAAGGTTTTGGAACTAGTGGTCAAGAAGCAGTTGCAATATCATTGCGACGTAAATAACATTTTAGTGTCTAATCAGTCCGGTTTTCGATCAAATCATTCATGTGAGTCCGTTGTTGTAAATATATGTGATACATTTGTTAAACTGATTGATAAGGATAAAATAGTGCTGGCTGTGTTTTTAGATTTAAGGAGAGCATTCGAAACGGTTGATAGGGATATATTAATAAATAAACTAAACAAATATGGCTTAAACGCAACAGTGTTGAAGTGGTTTAAGTCATACTTAACTAATAGACAGCAAAAAGTCAAATATAAAAACGCAACATCAAATCCTGTTTTTGTAAATTATGGAGTACCGCAAGGTACTGTGTTAGGTCCATTATTATTTTTGTTGTATGTTAACGATATAGTAAAGGTTGTCAAACATTGTCAAATTGAATTATTTGCAGACGACACGATGGTTTATGTAAGCGGAACTGATGTTAAACACATGGAAAAAATCCTAAATCATGATCTTGATTGCATATTTAAATGGCTGTGCAATAATAATTTAAGTATAAATACTGATAAAACCAAATTTTGCTTGTTTGGAAGAAAATCAAAATTAAATCTTAATGCCTTAAATAATGTCAGTATTGTGATAAATAACATAAATATTATGCCTGTAAACCAGATTAAATACCTGGGTGTTATATTTGACAACGAGTTAAATTTCCATGCTCACGCAGACTATATATTGCGAAAGTTTTCTAAAAAAGTAAATTTTATTTCTAGAATTGGTAAGCATTTAACGATGCATACAAAATTGTTATTATACAACAGTATAGCATCACCGCATCTAGAGTTCTGCTCCACCATTCTGTTCAATTTACCAAATTATATAATACAAAAGTTCCAAGTGGTACAAAATAGAGCATTACGAACAATATTAAAATGTAATTTTTATACACCTGTTTTATCTATGTTAAATGTCCTAAATGTGCTTTCCGTCAAACAAAAAATTATATTTAATGTATTTCTGTTAATTTTTAAAGTTAAAAATAAAATGTTACCTGATTATATCTGTAAAAAAACACAATATTTTAAAGAAGTCCACTCATATAACACTAGAAATTGTAATGATTTTATATTGACTGATAAATGTAACACCAGCCAAATGCTTAACTCTATTATGTATAAAGGTCTTTTAGAATTCAATAAATTGCCCAATGATATTAAAGTCTGTGATAATATTAAAAAATTTAAGATGTTACTTAGAACATATGTGTTAATAATGTTTTAATGTTTGTTATTGTACTTTTTACATTTATTTATATATTTTTAACATTTCTCATGTTGTTATGCTTTTAAAAATGTAAACTTACCCATTTGTCTATTTTATTAATTTTAATCTTAATTTACTTTGTGATTCGTATGTAGCTTTTGCTAAATAAATATTATATTATTATTATTATTATTATTAGTTTATAATTATTTTTGTCTTTAATTCTTTTAATAAATTCGTTCTTTTTTAGTACTTTTATTATTTTGTTTAATATTTCGGTACCTTAGAATGCAGTTTCCATGGCTTATCTTCAATATTTAATATTGTAGATAAGTCATTTTCGCTTAACAGTTCAGCTGCACTTAGAACCTTGTTATTCTAAGGTACCGATTAACTAAAAATGTTACAAAATACCTAGAATAAATTGTTTAATAATTTTTTCTTTGATTTTTTTAATTTTGTCTTTATTTTGCTTTTGTAGTTATTTTATTTTCTTGATTTTGTTTTTTCGATTTGTCCTTGGCATTGTTTTCTTGGTCTTTGTCTTTTTTTGATTGATTTGGTTTCTTTGATTATTTTTTCGATGAATTTTCGATGCATGAAAAAAAATCAAAGACACCAAATCAAAACCAAGAAAAAATAATTATTAAGGAAATTAAGGAAAATTAGAAAAAATTAAAGAAATTAAAAAAAGCAAAATAAAGATAAAATTAATAAAATCGAAAAAAAAACAAAAAATAACAAAATCAAAAAACAGTTTTGTAGTTCGTGCGCCTGAAATACGAAATGGCCGCAAACCCAATTTTTTTTGTTTTTGAATTTTTTTGGTTTTTTTTTATTTTTCCTTTAAATTGTTTTCTTAGTCTTGTTTTATTTTTTCTTGGTCTTTTGTTTGATTTGGTTTCTTTGATTTTTTCGATTATATTTTCGATCAATTTTCGCGCCTTTTGAGAGAAAATAAAATAAAATATATTGTTTTTTGATTTTTCCGATTTTTTTGTATTTTTTTTTAGTTTTAGGGTTTCGTTTTTTTATTTTTATAAAAATCTAAGAAATTTATTTTTAGAACTTGATCGAAATTATAAAAGTCAAAGAAACCAAATTAAACAAAAGACAAACAGACAACAGAAATAATCAAAAAAACAAAGAAATTAAAAAACTCAAATTAAAAATGAAATCAAGGAAAAGAACAAAACGGAAAAAACTCAAAACTCAAAAAAATCAAATTAAAAATAGAAGGAAAATATCAAATAACCAAGAAAATTAAAAAAACAAAATCAAAGAAAAACAAAAAACAAATAAATATCAAAAACCCCAAAATTACAGAAAAAAATACAAAAATCAAAAAAAGCATAAATCGCAAAGACCAAGAAAAAATCAAAATTAAGGAAACATTTTATAAAAATATAAAAAAAACAAATTTAGAAATTTCAAAGAAAATCAAAAAACAAAAATAATTAAAGAAATCAAATCATAGACCAAAAAAAAACAAAATCAAGGATTTTTTTACAATCAAAGAAAAATATTAAAAAAAATAAACCTATAGACAATTAACTGTTTTTTTCGCCACTAGGGACTTTCCCCAGAAATCAGCCAATTTTTGCTGCGTGTCATGAAAAAATCGAAAAATAATTGAAAAAACATAAAAACAAAAAAAAACTAAATAAACTAATAAACTAATTATAAAAAACAAAAAAAATTAAACAAAATAAAAAACCCAAAGTCAAAGAAAAAATTCAAAAACAAAAAATCCAAAAAACAAAAAAAAAACAGACCAAGAAACAAATAAAAAACAAAATCAAGGAATTTAAAAAAAACAGAAAAATCTAAAAAAAACAAAAACAAAATATAAATATAAAAAAAAGTAAAGCAAAACCACAAAAAAATTAAAGCATTTTCAAACAGTGCTGCAAAAAGTTGTCATCAAAGTAAAAATAGAAAAAAATCAACTAATATACAGTATGTCCCCGGATAGGGTTGCCAAGAGGAGAAACTTATTATTTTTCATTTTACGAGAAAAATGTATTCTTCATAATAGTTTTTGCTTGTTTCAAAATGGCTGAATCAGTTTCCACCGTTTCAAATTTCCTTTCCGTTCAAGAGAAACATGAAAAAATAGGTCCTTTTAGTTGAATATTTGTTTAAGTTCCAAAAATTACTTTTCGTTTTTATGGCAACAGTTAACACGACTATTGTTTAATAAGTTTTTATTGCAAGAATTCAACAAAGATCAAGTCGTTTCATTATCAGTCTAAAACGAACATTTATTAAGTTTTTATTACAATTCAACAAAATAATTAAACTACTAAAAAATTTTACTCGATCCATTCACCACCTTCATGAACGCATAGCTCAAGTCTGCGACGAAGTTCCCTATAACTGTTTCTGATCTCTTCCAGCGGTAAAGACGCCACAGCATCTCTGATTTTCTCCTTCAAACGTTATAATATAATATCTCGATAAAAGTATTGATAGTCCGGTCAAATTAGACCAAAAAATAACAGTGAAGGTACATAAATTTACAACAAGCTGAAAATCAGTAAAATTGTTCAGAATATAATTATAAATAAAATTTTAAAGTTCCCCATCATTCCCCTGTATGGAAATTTTTTTATTCAAGTTCAAAGGTCAAAAAATTAGTTTTTCGCGATTTTTATCAAAACAGTAAGTTTTATCATAAAAATACCCCAAACAAAATTGTAGATCATAAAATTATCTATAAAAAATGTATTGATACTTTTTTTCCTACGAGCCACCGTTTCTGAGATATAACGATTCGAAAACTTGTAAAAGTTGTAATCGTCATAATATGCACGCCACGTATCTCTAGAGTTGTAGTATATGTTAAAATATTTTTCTATAGGTCATTTTAACTTACACTTAAAATCTGTCATCTGTCACCTGTCATCTGTCATTTGTCCCTGTCATATGCCACCTGTCATTTGCCACCTTATCGATTTGATTTCGAGGATTTTAATTGGTTAACTTTTTTAAATACCCAACAAAAATTAAACGGGCTTCTGGCCGATTAGTTTTTATTCGATGAAGCTCATATTTTAGTATGTCAAACTTTGGTCTTTTTCCCGTCGATTCGTGTTTTTCGTTCGGCCAATTTCGAAAATTTCTCTCGACCTAAAAAAACGTTTGAAAATTTTTCGAAAAAAATAAAAAAAGAACGCTGTTCGAAAAGTTGCCGGCGTATCCGGCCCGTTTGCAATATTTATTTTTTCCATTGTCTGTATATCCTCTTTTTCTAAGCGCCGTAGCTCGGAGGCCGTTGAAGGTTGAAATTTGCATTCTTTTTTTCTGCCCACGAGACCTATCCGCGGACCAAATTTTTCCGGTGTCGAAAAGGTCCAAGTCCACTTTTTTACGATTTTTCCGTCAAATTTGGCACGTTCCGTTGTCTTCGCTTAACTTTCGAACGAGCCGAGATTTTTCGTCCAAACTCGAGGAAAAGGGTCTTCGGGACAAGAAGTTATCGGCATTAAATTTCTTCTTTCTATATACGAAGCTCCTAAAAAAACTACCTGCTTTGATAAGTATCGATATGCATGTTTCGTTAAAAATTCTAAAAGTAAAAAACAAGTTCAATTAGCTTATCTTCCTCCAACCTCAGTTGCTGCTCATCAACATCTTTTTCGGGTATATTACCATGTTCAATTGTGGCTTGGTTATCAGCTAGACCCTACAGACTAGGGTTGGAAGTTGGTCAACAACACATTAGAACCAGTTCAAACTTTACTCCCACCTGCGCCGGAAAAACTGTTGAACACAATTTTTTGCAACTGCAAAAAGGGATGCAGTGCTAAATGTGGTTGTAAAAAAGTCGGACTGTTTTATTCTCTGGCATGTACGAATTGTCAAGGCCGGTCGTGCTCTAATGTTGAATCACCAAAAGTGGAGGATTCATTTAATTCCAACGAGGTGAGATGCGATACATCGCTATTGACGCAATTTACTTGAACCCAGGATGAAGATGAAGAAGAAGAATAACAAGAAGAAAAACAAGAACAAGAAGAAGTTCAAGAAGAACAAGAAAAAGAATTTAAATGTTACGAATCAGACGAATAAACTTCAGTACTTTTTTTAAATTTACATCGCTATTATCTTTTCCAATCATTGCTAATTTCCGTTATTTTGCAATAGTTTCAAATTAAACAGGATCACAAGTGACCCGTGAAATAGGCCCACTGGGAAAACCACGTTTAAAAACGCGCTTAGTAAACTACCTCATAGGTGGCGTGGAAACGTGTGCATATTATGGCGATTATAACTTTTACAACTTTTCAAATCGTTATATCTCAGAAACGGTGGCTCGTAGAAAAAAAGTATTAATACATTTTTTATAGATTATTTTATGATCTACAATTTTTGTTTGGTGTATTTTTATGATAAAACTTACCGTTTTGCTGAAAATCGCGAAAAATCATTTTTTTGACCTTTGACCTTGAATAAAAAATTTTCCATACAGGGGAATGATGGGGAACTTTAAAATTTTATTAATAATTATATTCTGAACAATTTTACTGATTTTCAGCTTGTTGTAAATTTATGTACCTTCGAATGTCTAGATTGACCGGACTATGATTATCCATGATTTGAGCACCCATCCAAAAGCAGAAATCCAAACGTTTTGCGGGATCTCCGTGCTCTAAAGCGTGATTAAAAATTGGTTTGTAAGGATGAATTTTACATTGTTTCAATATTCTTTGAATGTGTGTTTTACTTATCCCCAATTGAAGCGATCTTCGTCGTAAATAAAGTTTCGGATTATTTTGTATCGAATCCGTTACGATAAGAGTGGAAGCGTCATCTTCATTGCGATCTACCTTAATTTTCTTTACATCCAAAACGGAGCCAGTAATTAAGAATTTCTTTATTAATTTTTGTGCACCACATTTTGAGATGTAAAGATCGGGAAACTTTTGATTGAATTCTTCTATAACTCGTCGGGTTGCTTTATCACCTTTACCGTGGCACTGTATTAAATAAATTCGTTGCTCTTTCGACAACATTGTCATTAATTTTGACAAATTTTCGTTTTAGACTGACAATGAAACAACTTGATTTTTGTTGAATTGTTGCAATGAAAACTTAATAAACAATAGTCGTGTTAACTGTTGCCATGAAAACGAAAAGTAATTTTTGGGACTGGTTTCTCTTGAACGGAAAGGAAATTTGAAACGGTGGAAACTGATCCAGCCATTTTGAAACAAGCAAAAACTATTATGAAGAATACATTTTTCTCGTAAAATGAAAAATAAAGAAGTTTCTCCTCTTGGCAACCCTATCCGGGGACATACTGTATACTTAAAAATAACTTACCGTCACTATGCAAAACGGTATGTGATTCTTGCACCCATTGCAATCGATCTCGGTTTCCGGAACCATATTCTCGCAATACGGACACGGACTTAGCGGCTCGACGCGGTCCCCGCACTCGCCGTTCCTCGGCGGCTTCCGGACCACCGCCTCGATTTTTTTCGCGTACTTCTGATCGATCCCCTTCCGGTACTCCGGTCTCATCAGCATCGTCGCGTACTTGAACGCCGCCTGCTTCAGGCCGGCGCGATGGCACTCGATCACGGTCGAGGTCAAGATCGGCACGACATCTGCAATCATTTTTTCAATGATTAATTATTTTTTTTTTGTATACATTCATTCTTTGACTTTGACTTGTCCAACACAATGTAATATTGTATTATTGGAAAAATAAATAAATAAAAATAAATAAATAATCAACGAAGTTACCGGAAGTTACAGTCGTATGCAAATAAAAAGCGTACAGCCTTATGCCGGTTTTCCACCAAACGGACAAAACAAAAACAAAACACAAACTCGTGTCGAATAAAACAAAACTGCAACTTTTTGCAAACTTTTTGAAGACTGGCGTGTTTTGCGACAGTTTGAGTTTTGTTTTTCGAGTCCCGCTCGAAAGCGGTAACATCAAAAGGTTTCGACGTGTTTTGAAACTCAAGTCTGTTTAGTGGAAACGGTCGTGTTGTGTTTTTTGTTTTCGACTTTTATTTTATTTTGTTAGTCTGGATACGAATTTCATACTAAATTGGTAGGTAAGTAGTAGTAGAAACATATTTTTTCCAAGTGTATAATAATATTCATATTATATTCCTCATAAGTCTATATAGAAATACTACAATTTAGTTACGAATAGATACGAATTTCATACTAAATTGGTAGGTAAGTAAGAAACATATTTTTTCCAAGTGTATAATAATATTCATATTATATTCCTCATAAGTCTATATAGAAATACTACAATGTAGTTTTTTAAAATGTTGTAACCTCATTTTTAGGTTAGGTTTAACTGTCAGACGACAAAATGTCACCATTATTGTTCGGCGGTCAATAATAATTTGACTTTTGAACTAGTACAATAATGTAGTGACTACTAGTTCAAAAGTCAAATTATTATTGACCGCCGAACAATAATGGTGACATTTTGTCGTCTGACAGTTAAACCTAACCTAAAAATGAGGTTACAAAATTTCAAAAAAATATCGAAATTTAGAGCTTGAAAAAAAATAGTATATACTATACACGGCGGCGAAAGCTTATTAATTACCTCGCACACAATCTACTGCCTCGGCAGTGAAATGTGTGCTCTGCTATAATATGAGCTTTCTCCGCCTAGTCTATAATATACTATTTTATAGATAGAGGATAGAGAATTTGTTTTGTAACGCTGGATCAGTTTAATAGATACACATATAGGTATATATATATTAGACTGGGCCAAAAAAATTGACTATTTTTTTTTAAATATATCGAGAATGTCATTCAAAAAATTTGGTGAAAATTTGAGCCCTTAATATTAATTTTAAGAGGTCTATCATCGCTATTTTTGATTTTTAGTCATAATTTGATGTTTTACATCAAAACATTGAAGTGAAAAAAATTCCTTTTCACTTATTTTTATATAAAATTAAATTTTCTACAAGAGAGGTCTGATTGAAAATTTTCGTCAGACGAGCCGTTTCCGAGTAATTGAGCTGAATAAATCGATGTGTTTTTTCGATTTGCCCTTTTTACTTTGAAATTTTGTAACTAATGAATCAATGAATATTTAAAAAAGCTCACGTCGAAAATTTAATGTTCTACAAAAAAAGTCTCTTAACATTTTTGCCTAAATTTAATTCTTTAAAAGTTATTCACAACTAAGAATAAGAAAATCTTTTTCTCTAAACATGTTGGTTGATACTGAAAAAGTGTGTTCTGACATAATCACGACAACTAGTGGAAAAGGACCGAAAACAAAAACAAAACTCGAACAAAACTTATTTTGCTTGATGGAAACAAGACTTTCGGGTTTGTTTCAGTTTTGTTTTTGATTTGCAAGTTTTTAAAAACACAAACAAAACCCAAACTCAACTGTTCGTTTAGTGGAAAACCGGCATTAGAATGAGAGGTACTGCACTTGTCAAATATGGCGAGTTGGTTTATAAAAAATACAGTGCCGTAGCTGTATTTTTTATAACCCAACTCGCCATATTTGACAAGTGCAGTACCTCTTATTCTAAGGCTGTACGCTTTTTATTTGCATACGACTGTAACTTCGTTTGTGGTGATACACCTTCAATATTTCTACACTTATTTTATAATTTCAATGTTTTTATACTCTATACTTATTTTTATTCGCTTCATTTTGAAAATCCAAATATTATTTAAGGTTTTTAAGTTTTAAGTTGTATTTTAGCAAGATATACATAATGTCATTTCTTTTTATACCTGCCCCTCGACACTTGACTCCCCGGTTCTTATTCAACAGAGAAGTCAAAGGCCTTACTATTTTTGTAGAATCCCAAAACTACCTACTTTCCCTATTGAACTTTGTAAAAGGGACAGATCGGTTTTTGACCTCTCCGCGACAACATCTTTGTTACAATAATTTTTAGTATCTTTATTTTTAAATAAATCAGTTAAAGTTTTTATAAATACGGTCGTACTTTTATTTACTCCTCTTAGTACCTAACGTACCCACATCGTTGATTATTTATTTATTTATTTACGCTTTTTATTTGCATACGAGTCGTATGATACGACTGTACCTACCCGCAAAAAAAGTGCGTTTAAAGTCGGATTTATAGTTCTTAAACGTAGCCGTAGCCGTTGCAGTTGCAGTAAGTAAGTAGCTAATTTTTACAATTTATAGTTCAGCGCGTAGCGGTTGTAGTAGTGGCCGCGTAGTATTTTGTGTAGGTTTACTTATAAACATGGTTTGGGAGCCTTATTTTTGAGTTTGACAGTTTGTCTGCAATTTCTGCAATTTGATTGGCTTTAGTAGTCGTTGCCGCAAGAAAAGATAAAAGTTTGTCATCTCTTACGACAACTTACGACAACGACCTTGGATGCTACTGCAAAGATCCTCCAGCCAATCACAGACTGTTTTGCTCGTACTGAAACTGCAACTGCAACGGCTACGTTTAGAACTATAAATCCAGCTTAAGACTTACGCGAAGGGAACTTCGATATGCTGTTGGCCACCCTGATCAGCATCCTGGCCCCCTTCAGGTGATCCCCCCGCCTCACGTGCAACCGCACCAAAATATAACTGTGCAGTAGCATCAAATTCAAGTGCATCTCCTGCGGTATTTTGATCCCGTTCTGCTTTAACTCTTGATACATCGCGAAGAGCACGTCGTGCGCGTTCCTGTAATTTCCGTTTATCTGCTCCTCGTTGGCGATGATGATCGCGGACTTGGACGCCAGTTTAAACTGCTTTCTGGCCATGTACAGCCTGAAAAGGTACTTGGGGTCCTTGGGGAGACCGTCGGTTTCGCCCAACAAATACTCTATCAGCTGCGAAGCTAGCAGCTCGTCTTTCGACGAAGCCACCACGTCTATGGCTATTGTGAGGGCGTCGTTTTCTTTGGCGTTCGATTTCGCCGCTTTCAGCAACAACCTCATGGCCTGTAATATAAAAAAATAATGTTAAACAGTGTTTTACATTATTTTTCATATAAACTCACTTTTTGGTATGACCTGGCATGGAACCAGTACTTGCCGGCTTGAATGAAATTTTTATCGTTCTCGAAGTATTGCGCGATGCCGGAAAAGTCCGACGGTTTGGTTTCGTCCTCGGAAAAGGTGCTCAGTAATATTTCCCCGTACAATTCCATCTTGTTGGTTTTTTTGGCCAACTCGTAGGCATCCTCGGTGCATTTCGATAGCACCAGGAACCTTATGGCCGAGGAGGTGTCGTTTAAGTTTTGGAAAAATCTGCGGGGAAAAAAGATTGAACTACTATGGGCGCTACTAATTATTTTTATGTTTTAACCGAAGAGTGATATTTTCAATTAGATGTAAAATATCACAAAATAATTTTTACTCTGCGAATTAATAATAACTGATATTTTTAATTTACCTAGCGAATTTAAAATATCTGTTTTTTAATTCGCTTGAGATTTAATTTTTATGACAAACATATTTTTTTTTAATTAATTTAAAATATTTGCTTCTTATATTTGTATTTATTTTTTTAATTCGCTAAATTAAAAAATTCCTTAATAAAGAAAACAGTATTGCAAAACGTTTTTTTACATCACAAATTTTGATACCCCTGTTACTCCAAACGCCACAAAATCCGACCCACGCCAACAACAAACTAAGTGATATTTTTAATTTAGCGCTGCGCGACAAAATTAACGCATAATAAGTAAAAATTGTAACTCTAAAACGCGTTTACCAATCTTGTTTAAAAATACTTCAACTTATATCAGTTTACGTGTTCGAGGGATTTTCGAGAAAATAATTTTAAAGCCTTTTTATTTAATACTAAAAAAACGAAAAATAATTTTTATAGGGTTTTTTTTAAGTAAATAAAAAATATGCTGTTAAATACAGTATTTTTTTAGTATACCCTGAAAATTTTGTACAAATCAAACAAACAGTAACGAAGATACAGCGCTTCAAAGTCGGTAAAAATGACCCCTCTTTGATTATTTTGCTGATTAGTGGTCATTTTCGACGACTTTGAAGCGCTGTATTTTCGTTACTGTTCGTTTGATTTGAACAACATTTTCAGGGTATACTAACAAAAATACGGTCTTTCATAGTATATATTTTATTTACTTAAAAAAAAACCTATAAAAGTTTTTTGGAGCGTTTTATTTTAAGGATATTTTCTCGAAAAACCCTTGAACACTGAGTTAAAGAATTTTAATCCAAAATTTTATTAAGATTGGTAAAGGCATTTTAGAGTTGGATTTTTTTACTTGTTATGCGTTAATTTTGACGCCTAGTGTATGATGTTTTTTATCTAATTAAAAATATCACTTTAGAGTTAACACATAAGAATATTTTCTGAATAAAAAATAATTTGAGTTTCATATATCCCAATTTAGACTTATAAATCGATTTTTTTGCCCATATATTCGATTTATATCGTCAAGATTTTTTGTAGAAATGTAGTTAATGAATGATTACTTAATGTTTTGATATTCAAAAGTTTTTTAATAATAAAATTAATACAAAATAAAAAATCAAACTCTTTGTATTTTTCTACAATTCTATTTTATCCATTCAATTTTTTCCTACAGATTTTTCAAAGAATACGGCAAAAAATATTGTTTTCCAGCAAATTAGCAAACTTAAAGTTTAGTTTAGTGTGCGTATTTTATTAATTACTTCTTCTAGTACATTTTAAAACATTTTTGCCAGAACAAGTAGCAAGAAATTTTGAATAGTATCGAAAAATTGAAAAAAAAAATTTAATTTTTCAAATATTTCGTACCAAAAATTGGGTTTTTGGGTCATAGGTTGATCAGTAACATTTCTACAAAAAATCTTGACGATATAAACCGAATATATGCGAAAAAATCGATTTATACGTCTAATACGGCCATACAAAAAAATTCGAGATAAGTTTAACAAACCCAGCGAGGTGTATATTTTCAGAAAAAAATAGTCCGGTGCGATTTTTAGTGTTGCCCAGTGAAATTTCAAGTGCTGCAATTTTTGCGGGCCGGGCACGTAAAAATTAAATCAGCGCGAAAACACTAAAAAATATGCAGCAACATTTTTTTTTCTCTTTTTGACGATTTCGCCTGGAAAAAAATGTTTGGTACTTACTTTGCTACGAGCTTAGCCCCTTCGACGCTTTTGGTCTCCTGCACCAAATCCACCGCGATTTCCGGATTGTTCAGGTGCTCCAAATGCAGCCTGATGGCCGCGTCGAAGTCCTTGGCCTTGGCGTAGGCGTCCAGGGCCTCCTCGTAGCTGCCCTCCGCCTCTTTGGCGCGCGCGTACTGCAGCAGGATCCTGCTGGACGTCACTTCGGGCAGGATTTCCCCCACCTTCGTCCAGTTCTTCAGCTTGATGTGGTTCGAAGCAGCCTTGTCGTACATCCCGCACTTTTCGTACAGGGTTGCCGCCTCGTGCAGCTGGTTTTTCCGCTCGAGGATGTCGGCGCACTCTTTTCGCAGCTGCTTGCTGTCCAGTTCCAGCGCTATGCTCATGCCGTGGCGGTAGTTGCCGCAGTGCAGGTTCGACCGAGCGATACCTAAAAAGAGTATTGAAAATATAAATTTTCCATTATTCCTTTTAGGCGTAAATTTAATACCTGTTTTACAAGTGTGTATATGAGCAGGCCCGAGATTCTCCTGCAAAGCATTCTCGTAATGCATCAAGGCCTCAGGGTAATTCCCACTAAAACATTATCAAACAAAAATGTAATCTAAAATATTTAAAAATCAATATAAAATTAATAAACCAAATCATGAAAAAAATACAAAAAAATCGGATAAATCAAAAAACAAAAAAATTCTTAATATTTTATTTTATTATCGTTCAAAAGGTACCAAAAGTTGAAAGTTGAAAAAATAATCAAAAAAATCCAAGACCAAAAAAAAAGGAAAAATAAAAAACACAAAAAAATTAAGGAAAATCAGAAAAAATAAAAGAAATCAAAATCAAGGAAACATTTAAAAAAAAATTAAAACAAAATCAAGGAAAAATTAAAAAAACAAAAAATCAAAAAAATAAAATAACAAAAAAAATCAAAATAAAAAATCGAAAAAAAACAAAGTCAAACAAAAAATAACAAAATCAAAAACCCCAAAATTAAAGAAAAATACAAAAACGACGAAAAAAAAAAAATTAAAATCAAGAAAACATTTTTTAAAAAACAAAATAAAAAACAAAGAAATCAAAAAACAAAGAAAAACAAAAGAATTAAATAAGCACAATCAAAGAAAAAATCAAAGAAATCAAATCACACAGACCAAAAAATTAATAAAAAAAACAAAATCAAGGAAAACATTTTTTTAAACCAAAGAAAACTCTAAAAAAAAAACAAAAAAAAATCGTTAAAAGTTGATCAAAAAAATATTCAAAGAAAACAAATCAAACAAAAGAAAAAATAAAACAAGGTCAAGAGAAAAAACAAAAAATTAAATAAAATTAAAAAAATCAAGTAAAAAACAAAATCAAGGAAAGAATAAAAAAAAGCAAAATGAAAAAAAAACAGGAAAAAAATTATAAAAAACAAAAAATCAAAAACCCCAAATTTTAAGAAAAAATCCAAAAAATCAATGAAACCAAATCGTTAACACAAAGGAAAAATCAAAATCAAGGATACATTTTTTAAAAATCAAAAAAACAGAATTATAAAAAATTAAGGAAAATCAGAAAAAAAATAAAGAAAGAAAAAATCCAAAAAATAAAATTTATTTATTTTTAACTAAAAGAGCAAAATAAAAATAAACATAATCAAAGAAAAAAATTATATAAAAAAACAAAATTAAAAACCCCAAAATTAAAAAAAAGCACTTTAAAAGAAAAAATAAACCTAGACAATTAAAGCAGTTAACTTTCTGCTAACAGCTGATTTTTTTATCGAAATAATCGAAAAAAAAACATAAAGCCCGCTGCACAATAGCCCGGTAACGGGAACGGGAATATTAACATTAAAGGTGGGAGAGATTAAAAAACCACTGTTGATAGATATGGTTTGCTGAGTGTCTCCCACCTTTACCGTTTAGGTTCCCGTTCCCGTTCTCGTTACCGGGCTGTTGTGCAGCGGGTTTAAATTAAAAATTACTAAATCACAAAAAATTAAAAAAAAACGAAAAAAATCAAAGAAAAAAATCATAGACCAAAAAAAAATAAAACAAATCAAGGAAATTAAAAAAAAATTAGAAAAGTCTCAAAAAAACAAGACCAAAGAAATAAAAACTCAAAAAAACATAAAATTCAAAAAAAGAAAAAAATCATAGACCAAAAAAAATAAAACAAATCAAGGAAATTAAAAAAAATTAGAAGTCTCAAAAAAACAAAAAATTCAAAATAAAAAAAAATAAAGCCCTCTGAAACAAAAAAACTACTCACGTAAACTCCAGCTGCTGCGCGTACTCCCTGCTGATCATGGCGATCTGATCGGTGGCCGTTTTCCTGGCCAGCTGCAGCGCCTGATCCCACTGCAGCAGATCCCTGCGCATCTGCAGCGCGGCCTCCGCGCTGCTCGAAGCCTTGAACCACTCCTGCGCCCTGTCGTACTCCTTCAAGTACATACAAATGTGTCCGGCCAGCAGCCTGCTTTCCTCAACGTCGCGCAGCGTCTCCAGGTTCCACACCATGGACACGTCGTCCAGCTCCTTGTAAGCTCTGATGGCTGAAAAAAAGTTGTCGGGAAACGGGATAGATCACAAGAAAAGCTTATTGGAAGTCTCACAAAAAGCCTATACTTCAAAATTAAATAGATTTTTTTGATATTTACAGGGTGTTATGTAATTAATGTTATATATTAAAATACTAAATACCTTTTGACATAAGGAATAAAGAAAAAATATTAAAAAAAATATTTTTCCAAAGATAATAATATTATCTTTGGAAAAATATTTTTTTTAATATTTTTTCTTTATTCCTTATGTCAAAAGGTATTTAGTATTTTAATATATAACATTAATATATATATATATTATATGCATTAGAAGTTTTTTATATTTTTTGTGATACGCCACTGGTTACACACTTGTTTATCTCTGCACACCTGTATTTTCTGAGTACATAGATACCAACCAACAAAGTAGAGGTGGGAAGTTCGATTCTTTTTGGTGAATCAATTCTTTTAATTCATTCTTTTAAAATGATTCGTTCATAAAGATTCGTTCGCGACTGATTCACTTTCTGGTTCAGGAACAAAGAATTAACGAACAATTCAGGTTCGACCGAATTAATGACTTGGTTCTTGAATCGTTTGTAATAATGACTTGTATTGGTTGTATCGTTAAATGAATCATCGGTTGTATTATTAAATTATTGGATTCGATTTTTATTTTGCTTACGTGTAAATTAACCTATGACTTTTCCGGTGCAACAACAGCACAGCTTACATAAAAAAAACAAAATACAAGTACCTAGGTTGTATTGGAAACTTTTAAATCAAAAGAGTATTTTGATATTTGACAAAAAATTACCTGAAATATCCCTAGAAATATCACTAGTTATTCAAAAAGACCGACATTTTAGCCTAGTGATCCGAACCTAGCATTTAATTCAGTGCTTGTAACCAAGTTTAAATTTATTTTAAGGTTTGATTCACTTTTTAGTTCACTAGTCGTGATTTAAAAAAAATGATTCAAAAAAGAATTGATTCTTTTACAAACTTTGTTCGATTCATTCGGTTCATTTAAATGATTCGTTCTTTTTGAACGAATCGGAATCAAACTTGCCACCTCTACAACAAAGTAGCTACGCGTTGCCAGATGTAAAAAATTGTTACTAAACATTTTTTTTGCAAAAAATAAATAAAAACTCAATAAATACAAAAGTGTTATGCCCTTAAAGCTCTAATACCCATCTGTATGTATTTACTCATCCAGCTATTAGCTTTAGCAATGATTAGAAAATTTAGTACCTATTTTAAAAAATCCATAACCACAAAATTAATTTTTTCATCAGTTTACTCAGATGAAATTGGGACAAGTTCACAGGTTAAACTTTAAACATTTAATTTGTGTAAATAAATCCAAAAGCACTTCCCTTAGTTAAGATATTTACAATTTGAAAACATAACCTAAAATTTAAAAGAAATGCACTAGATTCTGTCATAAAAGTTGGCAGATTTTGTTTGAATTTACCTTCAGTACAAAAATGAAATAACCAACAATTAATAAAAACGCCAAATTGACAATTTGCATTGTTAATTTTGTCATTTTTGTAATTAAGCTAAATTTAATTAATGTTTGTCAACTTTTTTGAGAGATTTTGGAAACACTGTTACCAACCATAACATAATAAATCCACCAGATTAACCTAAAGTTCCTAGTCGATCAGTGACGTACTTTTTGGTAGGATAAAGGTTATTATAAATTATTTTTAGACTTTGGAATTTAGAAAAAAAAAGTTTCAGGTGCTTCTTTATAGACCCTAAGGAACAACCCATTTTAATATATAACATTAATTACATAACACCCTGTATAAGTAATTTTTTTATTCATATGGTTTTGGCATTCTAAAATTTGATTTAAACAGTCTATGATGTTTTAAACGTTTAAAAATTTGCCTTAATTGTGTTTTTTGTGCTTTTAACATTTTGAATTGTTTTTTGATATTTAAAAATGGTTTTTGACATTGTTAATTGTTTTTTTAATACTCTTGAATAATTCTTGAAATACTGATGTAATTTTTTTATTCATATGGTTTTGACATTCTAAAATATGATTTAAACATTCTATGATTTTATAAAAGTTTAAAAATGTGCCTCTGACATTCTGAATAGTTGTTTATCATTTTGAATTGTTTTTGATATTCTGAAATGGTTTTTGACATTGTTAATTGTGTTTCCAAGACTCTTGAATAATTCTTGAAATAATCATATGGTTTGACATTCTTAAATATGATTTTAACATTTTGAATTGTGTTTAGATATTTTAAAATGATTTTTGACATTGTTAATTGTGGTTTTAAGACTCTTTAATAATTCTTGAAATAATCAAGTAACTTTTTAGTCACATGGTTTTGACATTCTTAAATATGTTTTAAACGCTCTATGATGTTTAAAACGTTTAAAAATGTGTTTTGGGCATTTTGAATTGGTTTTTCATATTTTAAAATTGCGCCTTCAAGAAATGTTTAGTTGGTTCGTTTAGCATTATTTATATTTTTTAACGAATTATTACATACCTATTTCGATTTCTAAAAATTTTAGACACTCTTCAGCAATTTTTCGAAAGAGTTTTTTGTCTTGAAGTGTTTGGCATGTTATCCAGGCAGCACTAAACCTGCAAGAAATATTTTAAACTTAAAAATAACAAATTTTTAAATTGAAGCAACAAAAACCAACGAAAACATATGCTATATTTTACCTGTGTAGGGAAAGTTGTTTATTAAAATTAGCCTCCAATACGGCACTATCTCTCTCATTAATACCACTCTGAACGGAATCGTGGGTGCTTAGAGCCAGTTGCGACAACTGGCCGCCAGATGTCGCCGACATAACCTCACCCGCGTACATTAGTAGAGGCAATTGTTTCGAAACTAGACCGGTAACGCCCACTTTAATCACCTTTGGTCCTGAATAAAATAAATATATTTATTTGTAATTTCGATTTTTCGATTTTTATTACCATCGATTGAAAATTTCACGTAAATGTAGGTGAAAATTTCGTTTTCGTCGTACACTATGAAAATGTTTCTGTCCGAGATGTTACTGTCCCACGTCACGCCGTTTATTTTGCTTGGGAGATCCGGTATCTCAAGTGATTTATTCGTGAACTAAAATTATATTTTTTTTTTATAAAAAAAACATATTTTTAGCGTTGAACTTACGGCGTTGTAAACGTATCCCTTGCCCCTGATGTCGAGAAAGACCAATCGGGCACCGGCCGGATCCACGTACAAGTCAGTGATGCCAACTTCGTGCGAGAATTCCCCCGCCACTGCCCAATCCTCGATGTGAAAATAGGTTATTTGTCCCATGTCGGTTGCGTAGACCAAAAAATCGGTCGTAAGGGCGTGGCAGGTGATTACGCACTGCTTCGTAGAAGCGTTCGGAAACATTATGGTTTCGCGGTCTTCGTGACAAACTTCGGGTTGTTCAATCTAAGGTTTGTTCGACAAAAAAGTTAAAAAGTTTAAAAACAAAAGGGTTTTAAAGGAAAAAAAGGTAAAAAAGGCCAAAAATATCAAATAAAGTAACAAGACTAAACAAAGGTCAACAGAAAATTATCAAATAAAGCAAAAAAGGTAATAAAAAACCTTAAAAACTAAAAAAGGGTTCATAAGAAGTCAAAAAAGAAAAAAAAGTGAAAATTTACAAAAAAAGTAAAAAAAAACGAAGCACACCTTCAAAAATCAAAAAAGATAAAAGAAATTGGCAAAATTTAAGAAACAATTATATAAAAAGGCAGAAAGCAAAATAAACGATATAAATCAAGAAAAGGTCATAAAAAAGACTAAAAAAACAAAAAAAGTTCATAGGAAGTATAAAAAGTTAAAATTCACAAAAAGGGGTAAAGGTAAAAAATAATCAAAAAAGGTTAAAAAAGGTAAGAAAAAGTCCAAAAAAGTTGAAACAAAAAGGTTACAAAGTCAAAAATATTAAAAATATGTAATCAAGTTTAAGAAATAAAAAGTCAAACACAAAAGCAAACGCAAAAGTAAAAAAAAAGCAACGCAAAAGTAAAAAAAAATCGCAATGTCAAAGAGGTCAAAGAAAGTAATAAAAGGCCACAAAATATCAAATAAAGTAAAAAAGGCAAAAAATGCTAAAGAAAAGGTAATAAAAAAAAGTTAATAAACGAAGAAAACGTTCAAAAATAAAAAAAACAATAGTTAAAATTTTTTACTTAAAAATAATAATAAGAGTAAAAAAAAGTAAAAAAAGTCTTCAAAACAATGAAAAGTCACAAAAGTTAAATTTTTTGAACAAAAATTTAAAAAAAGCAATGGCAAATTCAAGAAAAGGTTATAAAAAATCATAAAAAAAGTTCGTAAGTCAAAAAAGTAAGAAAAGTGAAAATTTACAAAGAAAACACTAAGCAAACCTTAAAAAATTAAAAAATATAAACAAAACGTAAATACAAAAAAATTCAAGAAAAGGTAATAAAAGATCATAAAAAAGTTCGTAAGTCAAAAAAGTAAGAAAAGTGAAAATTTACAAACACTAAGCAAACCTTAAAAAATTAAATAATAATATAATAATAATAATGTTTATTTATTCTCAGGATCGCAATGGATATAGAACAAGTCAATATAAATGCATTCATATTAATATTAATACATGGTAAAATACAAAAAATACTAACATTAATTATAATCAATCTGAAGACATATAGGTAAGAACAAACTTCCTTTACTTAGTAAACAAATCATTCACACTATAAAAACATTTGCCAACAAGAAATTCTTTTAATGCCTTTTTAAAAAATCGTATATTCTTAGAATTTCTTATGTCTAAAAAATATAAACAAAACGTAAATACAAAAAAAATTCAAGAAAAGGTAATAAAAGATCATAAAAAAAGTTCGTAAGTCAAAAAAGTAAGAAAAGTGAAAATTTCCAAAACACTAAGCAAACGTTAAAAAATCAAAAAATATAAACAAAACGTAAATCGAAAGTCAAAAAAGGTCAATTAATGTAAAAAAACAAGAATTTAAAAAATGCTAAATTATATTAAAAAAGCAAAAAAATTAAAATTAAAATTTACAAAAAAAGGGGAAGAATATCAAATAAAGTAAAAAGGCAAAAAAGCAAAAATTGCCCAAGATAAGGTAATAAAAAAAAAACGAAGAAAATTTTTAACTTAAAAAAATAATAGTACAAGTCAAAGAGGTAAAAAAGTCTTAAAACAATGAAAACTAGAAAAGTTACAAAAGTCAATAAAAGGTTAAAAAAATGTAAAAAACATGAATTTAAAAAAAAGCAAAATTTTATCAAAAAAGGAAAATTGGCGAAAAAACAAAGAAAATTCAAGAAAAGTCAAAAAAAGTGAAAATTTACAAAGAAAACACGAAGCAAACGTAAAAAAGCAAAAAATATAAACAATCAAAAAAAGTCAAAACAATGGTTAAAAATAACAATACTTAATAAAAGTTAAAAAAGATAAAAAGACTAAAAACCAAAGAAACCTATTAAAAAGTTATAAAAGTAAAAAAAAAGGAAAAAAAGAATCAGGAAAAGGTCATAAAAAAGTGAAAAATTACAAAAAAAACTCAAAAAAAAAACAAAAAGTCATAAAAAGTAATGCAAAAAATATTCAAAAAAGCTTAATAAGTCAAAAAATGCATACAAAGTCAAAAAAGTAAAAAAATTAAAACCACAATTTTTTTTAAAAATCCTTAAAATAAAAAAGCCGAAAAGTCACAAAAGCAATAAAAAAAATAAATAAAAGTCACAAAAAAGTTTAAAAGTAAAAAAGGCAAAGTCAAAAAATCAAAAAAAAGTTAAAACAAAGGTATAAATAAAAAAGGTAAAAAAGGTTTAAAAAACATTCTTACCATGTGTAGTTGTAGGCTTCCCTCAAACATCACAGAGGCATATTCTGGATTCAAACATATGCTTGTTACCACTCCAAGGTATTGTCTATCACCTATCATAAGTGGGCTATCTTCAGTGCCCACTTGGGGTTTTGTTAAATCGTAAAACCATATTCTGTTGTTCATGCCGGCAGCTACATGGTACTGCCCCACAGCTATGAAACTTGGTTCCACCATTAGAGTGACTGGGATTGGTCTAATCATGGACTAAACAAAGTTTCATCAAAACGACCCTATACATCAAAATAACGCTCTCACCTTATCTGCAGAATAATTAAACAAACTAATCTCGTTCAAACTTGACAAAACCGCTATTCTGGGCGCGCAAACCGAAGTCAAAGTCACCATATGCGACACGTAAACGTTCAGAGAACCGCCTTTTGTGCAAACACCCAGTAACTGACCATCGACGCTCCAACCCACCCTTTCCAAACCGCTTTCTTGCGCCAGAGTCAAAACGCTGGACACTTCCTTCAGATTTGAGAGATCATGGATTTTCACACTAAAATAGGTATGGTTTTAAACTGCCCAAAACACCACAAGAACTTTAATTTTGAAGAAATACTATGACAGAAAGGAAGAACAGAAGAAGGAAAAGAAGAAATAGAAAAAGAAAGAGAACAAAAGAAGCAGAGGAAGAACAAAAAAAATTCAAATTAAAGTTCTTGCTGAAACTATCAAACTTATTACTTGTTGTCGCCGCATGAAGCAACCTTGCCGATTTTTTCGCAAATCGTAATGTCGGTTAGCGTATTTTTGTGGTTTCTAACTTGAAACAGTTCCTGTCCAACCTCCTTTATGTGGGTGGATATGGCGATAAAAAATCCAGAACTGAACCCTATTAATATGTAACCATCCCCATACCATTTGTACACCACTATGCTACCATAGTGCTGTTGAAATGCTAGTTCAATGGGGTTTTCTGGGTCCATTAGATTGTACAGAAATAGGGTTCTTTTACCTACTATAACACTTACCTAAAAAAATATTTAAGGTTTTGTATATGATTTTAATATGTTTTTTAAAAGGTTTTTAGCAAAATCCTTTAAAAAAGTATTTTTAAGTAAAAAACATAAAATCTAGCCATCGTTTTGAACGATTTTACAAAAATTGTGAACAAAAGTTTGTTAAAAATAAATTAACTTTATTTAATAAAGTGTATTGTACTTACTGTATTTTGTCCGGCTATTCTTTCATCTCTTTTCATGTCAGAAAACTGAATATCCATTGGCTCGGCTCTCAAGTTAATAACCCTCAAAGTATCCCCCTCCAAATTACTAACAGAAATGGTTTTATCCTCAGACCCCAAAGCCAGAATATTATCTGTATTCCAAACCCCACATGTAATTTTTTTGGAGTGTTTCCCAATTATAGGCACCCTCCTCGACGTGTTATGATTGTAAATAGAAACATTCCCTTTTGAAGTCCCAACCGCCAAAATAGGACTCACCGGGGACCAAATCAAACACGACAAATAGTCCTTTAACCCCACATCAATCGTCAATTTTTTCATTGAATTAGAATCCCACAATATCAACTGTGGTTGGGAACTTATGACACCCAAAAGATCACCGTCAGAGTCCCAACCAAGCCCAGTACACAAGCTAAAATATTTAATAAAAACCCAAAGAATTATACACTTATTATGGCTTACCTCGGCAGTTTAATTCTCTCCTTCACATCTCCTTGCCTATCAAATATATTAACTATTGCATCTATACCAGTTGTAGCCAAATACATCCCCGACCCTTTTTGCCACGCAATATAAATATCCCCCGTTCCATGGGGCTGCTCGAGCCGAAAAAGTAGCTACAAATCAAATAATAATAATTTAGGTTAAATAACGCCATTTTAAAATTTAAATTAACAGAGAAATTGTACTCTGTGGCTAACTATCACATATAATCACCTTTTCGCTACCCATTTTGTTGTAATTTGCGTATTAATCGAAAAATCTTAACAATACAAACATTTCAATTCAAATGTCAAATAAATAAACAATTACTTCCGGTAGCATCACAACCGCATACCGAGCGTAGGTGCCAAATGTGTGTACAACCAACTAACTGTTGGTATTTATAAAGAAAAAAGGCATTTTTTTATTGCATAGCTATTTTATATGAGTTAAATGGTAATATTAATATTATTATTGTACAAAAATTGTGGATGATTAAGGTAAAATAAGCTGGGGAATTATTAACATTGGTATTGTTAACTCTGGCAACGTTACTTTAGGAGCTTTCTTTTTGTGTACATTTGAACTACTACTTCGGTATTGTTTTGACACCATATGTCCTAACCTAAATTTCCGAAAATGTCGAATAAAAGTAAAGAATTGGTTCAAAAAGAAAATGCCGTGCAAGCTATTATTGTGGTTGACACATTCGACGATGAGTTCCTGCCATTATCCAACGATATACCACACGTAAGTACACACAAAAAAATGATGCAACAAATCTAAATTTAATGTTGATTTTAGGCACTGTTACCTTTGGTTAACAAACCTATAATCGACTATACTTTGGAGTTTTTATCTTTGGGAGGAATAGAGGAAACTTTTTTGTTCTGTTGCACGCACATAGACGCCATAAAACAGCACATTAAGTATGTTTTTGTGCAAACTAAATAGCAACAGTTTAAAGTGTTTTTTTTTAGCAAATGTGTGGAAAATGCGGAAGAATGGACGCAAACAATGAAAGTAAACGTTGTTGTGTCGGAAAGTTGTCGCTCTTTTGGCGATTGCTTGAGGGATTTGGATGCCAAAGGGTATTTAAGGGGGGATTTTGTCCTGGTTGAACCAGGGACCATTTCTAACATCAATCTGTTACCCCTACTTGAGAAACATAAGTAAGTATACAATTTTTTTTTATAGAAATGTAAGGTATGTATTAAAACCTGGTAATTGTTTTGAATAGTAGGTGCTTTCCTTTCATTTTTGAAGTGAGCCAAGCAAAAGTGAGATAAGCGAGGCCACTTACGCGCACTCATCTTACCTAAAATAGACCAAAGGAACGGTTGGTAAGCCTATTTTCTCTAAAAGTGACACTTGACAGTTTAACCCTTATTTTCTGTGGTTTAACCATTTCCCTCAACGGTTTAACGCAAAGATTAAAGACTTAAAAGTCGTTATAACGAACAAAATGTCGAATCAAATAATACAGGTACCTAGTTAAAAATATAAATCCAATTTAAACAATAATAAATACCTTTTTTTTTATTCTTTAATTTTATAGAATGTAGTGAATGTAATATTCAGCAGCGATTCTGAAAATACTAGTTTAATCGTATCGTATCATCCTAATCGTAAATTACTATTTAAATAGTCATACCTACAATTGTATGTATTCTAGTCGCCGAGTGAAATCCGAATGAAAATATGCGATTAATAATCGCGGATTACTTAATTCGAAAATAAACGGCGATTATTAATCGCATACTTTCATTCGAATTATCAATTCGATTAAATTATTCCGATATTGAAATCCGAATGAAAGTATGTGATTTATAATCGCCGATTATTTAATCGAATTATCATCCGATTATTGAAATAATCGTATCGGATATAATCGGTTATTGATATAATCCGATTATGCCCAGCTAGTGATGTAGATAGGGTAAATACCCAGTGGGTAGGTAAATAAAATTTGGGTAAATACCTGGGTAAATACCCAAATTTTATTTACCTACCCAAAACTTGGTATTTTTGATAAATGCGTTATTATTTATACTTTAAATAATATTAAACTTCCCTATTAAACCATATAAACATAAACGTACTAGAATTGTCTCTGAACGCACTTAATCGTGGAAAACCGCTTATATTAATTGTTGAAATGCACACATAGACCAGGGTCGATAATTTTTGAAACAAAAAAAAAAAACAGTAGTGTGAAACCCATTGGAAAAGGAGAAGAATATAATAAAAATGAAAGGAAAAATAAATTACGGGCGATCTGACTTCGGGAAGTGGAAGGGGGGGGGTTTTAAGGGTAAAAATGGTTTATCTCGATTTCCGGCAAAACTACAAGTCCTATGGAAAAAAGTTAAATGGCAAAGTTGTAGGTAATAAAAGGATCTACAACTTTTGTAATTACAATTTTTTTACATAACCTCAAAATTTATGTGAAAAATTCAAAAAACCAAGTTTTAAATAATATTATCTAACATCTAAGGTAGGTACTACTACAGTATACTTCACTATATTGAATAAAACTATTTATTGATTTCAAGTTATTTTTATGCAAGATTTAAATCGAAATACCCCTATAAATACCCTATTTGGGTAAATACCCGGGTAAATACCCTATTTGGGTAAATACCTGGGTATTTTACATCACTATGCCCAGCACTAATACCTATTGTTTTAATTTTCTTCTGTTTTGTTTGATAGAAAGTGTACAACCTCACTTTTTGGCGTGCATCTATCCCCACCACCAAGTAATCAAAATTTCTCATTTGTAAGTGTGCTCCGGAGGTTGTGCTTGATCGGTAAGGGGGGAGGTAAAATTCTCACTTTGGCTTCCCTGTCATTTTGCAAATGGAACGGTCTCTAAAGTGAGATAAACCAAGGTGAGGTAAGAATATCTAAGAATCGTGGCAAAAGGAAAGCACCTAGTATATTTAACATATGAAATAATAAAATATGTTAAATGACAGTTCGATAGAGGGCGCCTAAAATCACGTATGTTGAGTTGCCTATCTACAAAAGTAAGTTAAAAAATTATTTGAATGGCCAGTGTCATGCAACAGGGAACCAACCTTTAAATTAAAAAAAAGTAGATAAAAGTTTGAATCTAATTGGAGCATGTATTTAAAATATAATGTTTTTTAGTAAAATTACGAAAATAGATAAAGGGGCTGCTATGACATTAATTTTTCAAGAATCTGGTTTAGGTCATATTTCAAGGTGTCCCAAAGAGGAGGTTCTTATGGCCACAAATTCAAGTGGTAGAGTTTTGTTTCACAAAAAGTTGGGCACTACAAGAGAAAGGAAAATTGAGTTTCCTTTGGTAAGTTTTTCTTTACAATATGACAAATTTTAATTTTTACATATTATAATAATTTTAACAAAAAAACTTAAAATTTTATCGATTATAGGTAGTCATCATTACATTAAAATCAATTTTTAAGGTATACCGATTAAAATGCGACATTTTTAATAACACCATTCAAAATATTGCACTTTAGTTAGCATGCCCTAAAAATTTCATAAAAATCGCATTATTTTTGTAAAGGTTACTTCCACTTAAAATTGCTCAAAAAATTTAGCACTGTGGTAATAAAATTTGACTTTTTTCAGGCTCCGTAACTTCCACTAAAATAATACGATTTTTATGAAATTTTTAGGGTGTACTATATAAAATATTCTCTTTAAAATACAATTCCCCAAAAAGTCATATTTTCATCGGTACACCCTAAAACCGAAAAAATAGCAGTGGTGCTAAATTCTATTTAAATGGGTTTTCAGTGTATACCGACAAAATACGACATTTTTAATAACATAATTCGAAATATTGAACTTCAGTTAGTATGTACCGAAACTTTCATAAAAATCGCATTATTTTTGTAAAAGTTACATCCACTTAAAGTTGTTGGTACTTTGGTACTAAAATTTGACTTTTTTCAGGCTACGTAACTTCCACTAAAATAATACGATTTTTATGAAATTTTTAGGGTGTACTATCTAAAATATTCTCTTTAAAATACAATTCCCCAAAAAGTCATATTTTCATCGGTACAACCCTAAAACCGAAAAAATAGCAGTGGTGCTAAATTCTATTTAAATGGGTTTTCAGTGTATACCAACAAAAATACGACATTTTTAATAACATCATTCGAAATATTGTACTTCAGTTAGTATTTACCGAAAATTTAATAAAAATCGCATTATTTTTGTAAAAGTTACATCCATTTGAAGTTGTTGGTACTTTGGTATAAAATTTGACTTTTTTCAGGCTCCGTAACTTCCATTAAAATAATACGATTTTTATGAAATTTTCAGGGTATACTAGCTAAAATATCCTCTTTAAAATACAATTTACCAAAAAGTCTTATTTTCATCGGTGCACCCTAAAACCGAAAAAATAGTAGTGGTGCTAAATTATTTTAAAATGGGTTTTCAGGGTATACCGACAAAAATACGACATTTTTAATAACATCATTCGAAATATTGTACTTCAGTTAGTATGTACCGAAAATTTAATAAAAATCGCATTATTTTTGTAAAAGTTACATCCACTTAAAGTTGTTGGTACTTTGGTACTAAAATTTGACTTTTTTCAGGCTCCGTAACTTCCACAAAAATAATACGATTTTTATGGAATTTTTAATGTATCCTAGCTAAAATATCCTCTTTAGAACACAATTCACCAAAAAGTCATATTTTCATCGGTACACCCTAAAACCAAAAAAATAGAAGTGTGCTAAATTCTATTAAAATGGGTTTTCAGGGTATACCGCACAAAATACGACATTTTTAATAACATCATTCGAAAGATTGTACTTCAGTTAGTATGTACCGAAAATTTCATTAAAATCGCATTATTTTTGTGAAAGTTACATCCACTCAAAACTTAGCACCTTGGTACTAAAATTTGACGTTTAAGAATATCTGTAACTTCCACAAAAATATTCCGATTTTTATAAAATTTTCAGGGTAGGTATACTAACTAAAATATATTATTTCCTATTATTTATAGGAAATCTTTCTGGAAAACTCCACAGTCTCTCTAAGGCACAATTTAAAAGACACGCACATATCGATATGTTCTCCGGCAGTGTTGCCCCTATTTTCCGACAATTTTGACTTTCAAACCAGAGATGATTTCGTCAGAGGTTTATTAATGAACGAGGAAATCTTGGGAATGACTGTGTACAGTAACGTTTTAAAGGGGGGGCAATTCGGAGGGGCCGTAACCAATTGGAGAACATACCAAACATTAAGGTTACTTACTTTATAAATACCTTGACAAAACAACTATTTTTTTGTTGTTTTAGCCACGAACTAAAAAATAATTACGTGTACCCCGTTCAGCCGTCACAAAAACATAACAGTTTTCTCAAAAACGACGTCATCGCCGGCCAAAATGCAACAATTTCGAAGTCGGCCAAGTTGAACAACGTTATAATGGGGGATAATGTGAAAATAGGCGAAAACGTCGACATTTCAAACTCTTTTATTTTTTCCAATACGAAAGTGGAGGATAATGTTACGATATCTCTGAGTATTGTTGGGCCGAATTGTTTAGTAAAAGAAAAAAGTAAAATTCTGGCTGGGACTGTTCTAGGGAAAGGCGTTCAGATTGAAAAGGAGTGCTTTGTTGAGGATGCTTTGGTGCAATCTACTAGACCAGATGAATGTAAGTTATATTGTATTTATTTTTTAATCCCATCTACTATTTTATTAATGGTCTTCCTCTTTAGGGAGGTAAAACCCTTCTGATAGACCATGCATTTTATCTATGCCATCTACTTTTTATATTTGTAAAAAGCTACAGATTTTTCAAAATTAGATATCATAGACAAAATTTTTGGTTCATCCTTAAAAACAAAAAAATCATAAATAAAATATAAAATATCAAAGTAATTGAAATTTTTTTAAATTTATCAAGAGCAAAATGAGTAAAGTAACTCAAAAAATGAATTTTATTTATTTTATTATCGGTCTTCCTCTTTGGGAAGGTAAAACTCTTCTTATGGACCATGCATTTTATCTATGCCATCTACTTTTTATATTTGGAAAAAGCTACTCCAGATTTTTCAAAATTAGATAGCATAGACAACATTTTTGGTTCATCCTGATAATTTTATCTTAAAAACAAAAAAATCATAAATATAATATTAAATATCAAAGTAATTGAAATTTTTTTAAATTTATCAACAAAAAAATGAGTACAGTAACCCAAAAAATGAATTTTATTTATTTTATTATTGGTCTTTCCCTTTGGAAAGGTAAATCCCTGCTAATGGACCAAGCATTTTCATGCCATCTACTTTTAATATTTGAAAAAAGCTACTCCAGATTTTTCAAAATTAGATAGCATAGACAACATTTTTGGTTCATCCTGATAATTTTACCTTAAAAACAAAAAAATCATAAATAAAATATAAAAGATCAGAGTAATTGAAATTTTTTGAAATTTATCAACAACAAAATGAATTTTATTGATTTTATTATTGGCCTTCCTCTTTGGGAAGGTAAAACCCTTCTAATGGACCATACATTTTATATATTCCATCTACTTTATATATTAGGAAAAAGCTACTCCAGATTTTTCAAAAATAGATAGCATATACAAAATGTATGGAAATTTTTTCAAATTTATCAACAACAAAATGAGTACAGTAACTCCAAAAATGATTTTTATTGATTTTATTATTGGTCTTCCTCTTTGGGAAGGTAAAACTCTTCTTATGGACCAGGCATTTTATCTATGCCATCTACTTTTTATGTTTGGAAAAGCTACTCCAGATTATTCAAAATAGATAGCATGTACAAAATTTTTGATTCATCCTGATAATTTTACCTTAAAAACAAAAAAATCATAAATAAAATATAAAATATTAAAGGAATTGAAATGTTTTCAATTTTATCAACAACAAAATAAGTACAGCAACTTCAAACATTATTTTTATTGATTTTATTGATGGTCTTCCTCTTTGGGAAGTTAAAACCCTTTTAATGGACTATACATTTTACCCCTCTTATATTCGGAAAAAGCTACTTCTGATTTTTTATGGACAAAATTTATACTTCGTTCTAATAATTCAACCTTAAAATCATTGTTTACAATTTTGCTAGTAGATAGCAGAGACGTTCTGGGTAAACACGCCTTTAGGCTGGTCTTGGACGACAACGAACCCGAAGACGTTGTAGACTTGGCCTTAGCCAGAAAATTATCCAGACTGCATATCGATCAAAATCTCGGAGAAGAGAGTGAAGACGACGGTTTCAGCGAATCCGAAGATGAACGGTCGTCTTACACCCATTCTCCTGCTCCCGATGATACAAAATGTAAGCCAAATACTGTGTAGATTTTTTTTAATAATTAACTTTAATTTGCACTTACTAACATGTGATGTTTGTATTTTAGTGTTCTTTACTGAGGTAATAGACAGTTTGACTAGAGGGTTTGAGGATAAATTGCAGTGTGACAATCTTATTCTAGAAATTAACTCCTCTAGATATGCATATAATGTAACTGTTAAAGAGGTAATATATTTTTTGGTTTTCGGGTAGAATGTATTAACATTAGTTCAGTAATACTTTGTTCTGGGACTGATAGTTAAACAATTTAATAATTAATTAACTTAACACCGAAAACTTACTGCTGACTTAACTGACTTGGTTTATTATTTAGGTAAACTTCTTCGTTATAAAAGCTATCTTGATCATGTCCTTGAGGCAGCCCATGGGGCCTCAATATTTCTCTCAGTTGCAACGTTTGCTGCAATACTTTGTTCCGATCCTGAAGAACTATTTACGTAACGAAAGCGCCATGTTGGACTGTCTGCAAGCGGTAGAGGTAAATGCAAACGCTACTATTTAAAAGCGTTTTAGGGTGTACCGATGAAAATACGCCTTTTTAGTAAATTTTATTGCAAAGAGGATATTTCAGTTAGTATACACTAAAAATTTTATAAAAATCGGCTTATTTCCCTGGTAGTTACAGAGACTTAAAAACGTTAAATTTTAGTACCGGGTGCTAAGTTTTGAGTAGGTGTAACTTTTACAAAACTAATGCGATTTTTATGAAATTTTTAAGGCATACTAACTAAAGTACGATCTGAGGAATGTTGCTATTGAAAATGTCGTATTTTTGTCGGTATACCCTTAAAACGAATTTTAATGGAATTTAGCATCACTACCATTTAGGGGTGGTTTTGTAAGAACCGATGAAAATACGACTTTTTCGTAAATGTTATTGAAAAGAGGATGTTTTAGTTAGTGTACCCTGAAATTTTCATAAAAATTGGTTTATTTCTGTGGAAGTTACAGAGACATTAAAACGTCAAATTTTAGACCAAGAGTACTAAGTTTTGAGTAGATGTAACTATTACAAATATAATGCGATTTTTACAAAATTTTCAGGACATACTAACTAAAGTACGATCTGAGGAATGATGTTATTGAAAATGTCGTATTTTTGTCGGTATACCCTAAAAACGAATTTTAATGGAATTTAGCATCACTACCATTTAGGGGTGGGTTTGTGGGAACCGATGAAAATACGACTTTTTGGTAAATTTTATTGGAAAGAGGATATTTTATTTAGTGTACCCTAAAAATTTCATAAAATTCGGATTATTTTTGTAAAAGTTACAGGGCCTTAAAAACTTCAAATTTTAGTACCAGGGTGCTAAGTTTTAAGTGGATGTAACTTTAATTTAAACAATGCAGGTTTTATGAAATTTTCAGGGTATACTAACTGAAGTGCAGTCTTTCGAATGCTGTTACTGAAAATGTCGTATTTTTGTCGGTACACCCTAAAAACGGATTTTAAAGTAGTGATGATATTTAGGATGTGGCAACTTCAAATGAAAACCTCACAGAAAAATGGGTCATGTTTGTGCTACAATACTTCTACGACAAAGACCACGTCACCGAGGACGCCATATTGAAATGGTACAGCACTCTAGACAAAAAAAGTAACTTTCACGCGCAAGTCAAGCCCTTTACTGATTGGCTACAAGAAGCTGAGGAAGCCTCGTCTTCTGAAGATGAGTAGTTTGTACTTAGGAAAAAAATTCAAGATTGTGTAATATATTAATTTTATTTTGAAGAGTATTTTTATTTTGTTCCTTTGTCGTTTACAATTACAAACTTTAGAAGGAGGGCACTGAAAGGAAGCTAATAAAAACACAATTTTGTTACAGTAATTTCATTTATTTACACACAATAAAAAGGAAAGTTGAGGTTTCAGAATGACAAAAATATTTTTTCCAAAAGTTTGACATGCACATAAAACTGATGATTTTTTTTTGATATGGCTATAACGACACCAATTTGGAGCCAAGTGTGGTAAAAAATATCCATCTTAAAAAATAATAAAAAAATAATAGGTGAAAATGACTAGAAGATAATTGAAAGATTTTTTATTTTTGTCTGCAAAATTTAAAATGGACATTCTTTTATTGATTTTACATTAACACAACTTAAAAATTAAAAATTATTATTACACTGATTTTAAAATAAATAAATTTTGGGAAGAATACCTTGTTTTGAGATTTTTTAATTTTTTGTTTGTATTTTATAAACGTACTTTTTGTCCTATGCTTTATCTACTCCAATTATTGGTAGATAATTAAATGATTAAATCAAAAATAAATAAATAAAATTTGACATCTGTCAAATGTTAACCCAACTTTTTACCAGTTTTAAATATTATAGTTGCCTTGTCCCAATTTAAAACCCGTTTAAATCACAGTGAATATTGAAATGAGCCAATCACTGATGCAGGGAATTTTTAAGACAAAAAGTGGTCTGGGTTTCATAAAATTTAAACAATGGTATTTTAAATGTCAAAACGAGGTACTCTTGCACATTTCAAAGTAAGTAAGTACGGTTATTTTACTCATATTTTTTCAAATGTTTCGTAAATATACACTATGGAAACGGAGTCTAAAAATCGTAAAACAAGAGGGAGAGGGGGGAATCAATGAACAACAAACAACAGCCATTTTTCATTAATTTTAATTCCACCAAGGTCACTGTATGCGTGGCCAGTACTGTGACGTCATGTCGGTTTGTCCCGGGACAGCTATCGGCACCGAAACGCCCGGTGATATCAACCCTGAAATTTTGAAAGTTTGATTTAGTTCTGAAAATTCTAAACTAAGCAAAAAAACTAAAAAAGTGCAAAAATTAATTTAAATAAAAAAAATAGTGTTATGCATGTTTTTTAAACTATGGAGTGTACTAAATTAAAAAAAATATATGTATAAACATGTTTACACACATTAAACAGTCACATTGCAGTGATGTTGAATACACTCAAAGCTTTAAATACTTTTTAGCGATTTTTTGTTAAATAAAGGTAAGTTTAAATTTTTAAATGAAATTATAAAAACTTATTATAGTGCTATATATATATATATATATATATATATATATATATATATATATATATATATATATATATATATATATATATATATATATATATATATATATATATATATATATATATATATTAGGGTGAGCCAAAAAAACTAACCTATCGGATTTATGGGTTAAAATGAACCTACATACCGAGCAAAAAATTTTCCTGCAAGGAAAAATTTTTTGCTCAATTTTAAAAGGTGTCGGTGAGCATTCTAAGTTTTCCATTGAAATAACACGTAAAAAAATCTTTTTTCATTAAAAAAAATATAACTTTTGAACCGTTTGAGATAAAAAATTTTACGTCGTGTTTTTTGACTCAAAATGTTCATTAGGGTGTTTCATTTAAAACGAAAAATTTTTTTTTCTTGCTGACACATGAAAATTTCGGTTTTTAGGTTAAAAAAAAAATTCCCTGAAAATTTGAGCCCTTAATTTTGATTCTAAGTACTTCCTTTTTAATTTTGTAGTTTTTCCATATAAAAAGCATGTATTTTTAATCATTTTTACTTTAAATTTCTATATTTTGGCTGGGTTTTGAATTATAATTTTTATCACCATAATTTTCTGCATAGTATTCACGGTTTTTGAAAGGCCCTGCATCAATTTTGTTTTTGATTTATTTACGTTGATTGTAGTAGCTCCAAAAGTCGTTTTTTTCACTTTTTCTCACATATTTTTGAGAAAATCCATCGAATGACTGGTTTTACCCAAAAAGTTCAAATAAAAAAGTTGTAGGAAATTTAATTTTTGACAAAAAAGGTTTTTACGTTCATATCACTAAAATGCTTTGTTTAAGAGATATAAGCAATTCAATAACCAAAAACAAAGAAAAAATAGGTTTTATTGAAATTTATGTAATTTCATTCAACAACTATATATTGCTTATATCTCTTAAACAAAGCACTTTAGTGATATGAACGTAAAAACCTTTTTAGTCAAAAATTAAATTTTCTACAACTTTTTTATTTGAACTTTTTCGGTAAAACCAGTCATTCGCTCGATTTTCTCAAAAATATGAGAAAAAGTGAAGAAACGACTTTTGGAGCTACTACAATCAACGTAAATAAATCAAAAACAAAATTGATGCAGGGCCTTTATTATGGTGATAAAAATTATAATTCAAAACCCAGCCAAAATATAGAAATTTAAAGTAAAAATGATTAAAAATACATGCTTTTTATATGGAAAAACTACAAAATTAAAAAGGAAGTACTTAGAATCAAAATTAAGGGCTCAAATTTTCAGGGAATTTTTTTTTCAATCTAAAAACCAAAATTTTCATGTGTCAGCAAGAAAAAAAAATTTTTCGTTTTAAATGAAACACCCTAATGAACATTTTGAGTCAAAAAACACTAAAACTAAATATTTTGATTTTTTTCACTTTTCAAAGCTTTCAAATATACGAATTTTTAAATTGAAAAAAAATAATTCTGGGATAGATTTTGTAGGAAATTTTATGCTCTACAAGAATCCGCGACGTAAAAATTTTTATCTCAAACGGTTCAAAAGTTATATTTTTTTTAATGAAAAAAGATTTTTTTACGTGTTATTTCAATGGAAAACTTAGAATGCTCACCGACACCTTTTAAAATTGAGCAAAAAATTTTTCCTTGCAGGAAAATTTTTTGCTCGGTATGTACAGTTGTATTCAATAAAAAAGCGTACAAGAATTAGAATGAGAGAAAACTGTCAAAATAATATTATTGCTTAAAACCGGCTTATCACTGACATAAGTCATTAAAATAATTACTATAGGTTATAAAGAGCATTGACGTCGTAAGTTAATTAAATATTACAAAAATTATTACCTTTTAGAAATGAAAAAAAAACAAAGATTAAAAAAATTTAATATTTAGTCATGCATCCGTGTTTTTTTTATTACTTGAGCCAATCTATTTGGGATAACCTGAATTAAATTTAATAAAATATTTGGATTAATATCCTCCCAGCAGTATAGTATAGTTGTATAGTTTCCCTTAAATCCTCAGATATCCCAAAAAAGCAGCATCCTGTTCAGGGGTGAACATTTTGGGACGACCTGAACCAACTTTTTGGTTTAGTAAATCTTCCTGTTCCCAGCGTTGCATAATTTTTAATATAGATTTTTTATTTCTATTATACCACGGTACGAATTGACCATTCTTCTTCGATTCTTGATACTTTTTGAGCCTTTTTAACTGACGAGGCATTTTTATTTTCTACTGTCAGTTATAGTGACTTAAGTCAGTGGAAAGCCGGTTTTACGCAATAATGTTGACAGGTTTCTCTCATTCTAATTCTTGTACGCTTTTTTAATGAATACAACTGTAGGTTCATTTTAACCCATAAATCCGATAGGTTAGTTTTTTTGGCTCACCCTAATATATATAGGTGCTCACCTATCTAAATAAATATTTTATTTTAGATTCCATACGAAGAATCTTATGAGTTAGACTGTTTAAAGTCACAGACTCCTTGTATTGTAAAGATACGTAATACCGTAATACCTACATCTTTTTTAAACCTTATTTACATATTTTTTTATTGCAGCTAAAGAACTTTATATTTATATTAAAAAAAAGGATTCCTTCAATAAGCAAGTTTTTTAAGCTTTTCAGTTAATTTTTGGACTTTTCAGTTAATTTTTGGAAGTAAAAAATTGTTTAAGTTAAAAAAAGTTTTTTTTGTTGACCTCTTTTTAAATTTACCATTTTTTATTTTTTTAATGATTTGCTATTTTATTTATATATTTTTTTATTTAAACTTTAGAAGTATGTATTTCTTTAATATATTTTAATATAAATAATAATAAAGAACACAAGACAAATTATTCCTGTTTATCCTAACTTTCTTCGAAAAATTTCGATTTTTTAAATATATTTTTTAATTATAATTTATTTTCTGTATTATGAAAAATAGACAAAAACACTTTTTTAACGTTTTTTCTTAAGACAATATTATTTATTATTACTTTTTATTTGATATTTAATATTATTTATTATTATGTAGGTAAATGATTTGTTTATTTTTTTTATATATTAAAATTGTAAATTATTATAAATTATTTCAATAGCAAATACAACTAATTTAATTTGCAAAACATATTTTGTATTAATTAAATGTTATTGGTAAGAGTGAAGATTTTTTCTCCATTATTTCTAGGTAAAAATATAACTCGTTTATATTTAAAATAAAACAAAACATATTTATTTTTTGTAAAAATATAACTTAATACAATCTAAACTAGTTTATATTTAAAATAAAACAAAAAAAAGTTTATTTTTAGTTTTATTTTTGGGTGTGGGTAGGTATATATTGGGGTGATAAAAAAAAAATTTTTGTTTTTTTTCTCGGAATCGCGCTTAAAAGTTTCGTATAGATATAAAAATGAGCCTGTGAAAAAATGAGCTCTTAATTTCAAAATTAAGATGCTCCGCATCGCACTTTTCGATTTTACATAAGAATAACATAGGAAAAATTATTTTTGTTTCTTTTTATTTTTGTAACTAACGAACAATAGGCCGTACTGTAAAGTTCTTGAAATATTTTTGTAGAGAATTGAACGCTTTTTTTCCAAATTTCCAGAGCTCAAAAACAATATTTCGATTCGTTTTTAGCCCTTTGAACTAAAAAATCCAGAAAAAATTCGAGGAAAACGACTAAATTGACGGTTAATTTCACTTTAACCTTGAATAACTTTTAACCAAGTTAACTTACCGAAAAATGACTAGACCTTTTTTGTAGAGCGTTCAATTCTCTACAAAAATATTTCAAATTTTTTAAATGAGTCGGGTAGTAAAAAAACACAAAAATTTCGTATAATTTGAACTTTGACCTTAAATTTCTTTAGAAGGATCAAATTTATCAAAAAATCATAAAAAACCTTTTCTGTAGAGCGTTCAATTCTCTTACAAAAATAAAAAGAAACAAAAATAATTTTTCCTATATGTTCATATACATATGTATGTTATTCTTATGGAAAATCGAAAAGTGCGATGCGGAGCAACTTAATTTTGAAAATAAGAGCTCATTTTTTCACATGCTCATTTTTATATCTATACGAAACTTTTGAGCGTGGATCCGAGAAAAAAAACAAAAAAAAGGTTTTTTTGAATCACCCTAGTTTGTGATTAAAAAATAAAACAATAGGCTAGTTATATAGGTATATAAAAATTATGTAATATTTTGTGTTAATTTTGGTCTTTTCTTAATTTTTATTATATAATATAAGTAATTAGCATTTTGTTTTATTTTCAACTGTGCAAATCCTCAGTTCAAACAAACCAAATAAATACATGTGTAAATCAAAAAAACTTTTTGTGATAAACAACAAAATCAAACTGCTTACCTGTGGAGTTTGCGCCATTGGTGCCGTACTGATGTCCGTTCATTTGGTAGGGCTGGCTGGGGCTGCAGGACGGCCTGGTGCCGTAGCCGATGCCCAGGTCGTAGCTGGGCGGCCTGCCCATGCAGTAGCCGCCCATCGAGGGGCTCTCGCGCTGCTGCAGGCAGGCGTTACCCGGAGCGGGGCCCATGCTGGGCGCCAGGCCGCCGTGCCCGAAGCCCGACATCGGGGACATCGTGCTGCAAGAGAAACTTTGTTAAATTCCCAAATGTTATTTGTGCCTTTATAACATGAACGCACCAAACTCAATTATGTAAAGTACACTGGGCCAAAAAAATTGACTATTTTTTTTTGAAAAATATATCGAGAATGTCATTTAGAATGACAAAAAAAAAATTTCGTGAAAATTTGAGCCCTTAATATTAATTTTAAGAGGTCTACCATCGCTATTTTTGATTTTTAGTCATAATTTGATGTTTTACGTTAGAACTGTCAAAACATTAAAGTGAAAAAAATTCATTTTCACTTATTTTAATATAAAATTAAATTCTCTACAAAAAAGGTCTGATTGAAATTTTCGTCAGACGAGCCGTTTCCGAGTAATTGAGCTTAATAAATCGATGTGTTTTTTCGATTTGCCCTTTTTACTTTGAAATTTTGTAACTAATGAATCAATGAATATTTAAAAAAGCTTACGTCGGATTCTTAAAGGAAATTTAATGTTCTACATAAAAGGTATCTTAACATTTTTGCCTAAATTTGATTCTTCAAAAGTTATTCACGATTAAAATCGAAGAAAAACTTAAAATTTCAATTTTTTCTTCGTGAATTTGAGATTTTTTAATTTTTTGTTTGTATTTTATAAACGTACTTTTTGTCCTATAAATTTGGAAAAATAGTATATTATTATTTGAGAGATAATGCGCATAATCTCGAGTGTAATACTATGCTTTATCTAGTCCAATAGGTAGATAATTAAATGAATAAATCGATGTGTTTTTTCGATTTGCCCTTTTTACTTTGAAATTTTGTAACTAATGAATCAATAAATATTTAAAAAAGCTCATATCGGATTCTTAAAGGAAATTTAATGTTCTACAAAAAAGGTATCTTAACATTTTTGCCTAAATAATTTAGGCTAAATTTAATTCTTCAAAAGTTATTCACGATTAAAATCGAAGAAAAACTTAAAATTTCAATTTTTTCTTCGTGAATAAATTTTAAAGAATTAAATTTATGCAAAAATGTTAAGAGACCTTTTTTGTAGAACATTAAATTTCCTTTAAGAATCCGACGTGAGCTTTTTTAAATATTCATTGATTCATTAGTTACAAAATTTCAAAATAAAAAGGGCAAATCGAAAAAACACATTAATATATATTAAGCTCAATTACTCGGAAACGGCTCGTCTGACGAAAATTTTCAATCAGACCTTTTTTGTAGAGAATTTAATTTTATATAAAAATAAGTGAAAATTAATTTTTTTCACTTTAATGTTTTGACAGTTCTAACGTAAAACATCAAATTATGACTAAAAATAAAAAATAGCGATGATACACCTCTTAAAATTAATATTAAGGGCTCAAATATTCACGAATTTTTTTTTTGTCATTCTGAATGACATTCTCGATATATTTTTCAAAAAAAAAATAGTCAATTTTTTTGGCCCAGTCTAATGTAAAGGTGTTACCGGTAAAATTAAAATGACAAAAGAACATTTTATTTAAGTTCTTATTGGGGTTTTCCCCCTGTTTGCGACGCCCATGTTGCGTACTAAACTTAGGATAGACACGAACTATTATAGTATACGACATTCCCAGGTAGGGGATGATTAATTAGAGGGAAGGGTGCTGATACAAATGGGGGATGTTAAGGTAATGACATACCTATTTAGTTGTTAGCGTTGACACCATTTTGTCTAAATAACCGGTTGGGCAAAACGATAGAGATAAATTTGTTGACAGAACAAAACGATTTTAAAAATAGTCGTAAGAAGATACAAATTATTTTTATCTATTTTGCGTTCATAATGACTTCATTATAACACCGCTTTCGGTGCTGTAATGAGATACTTAAATATTTATTTGTTTATCTGATTTCTACACGCTGTTAAAAGGAACGCGTCAACTTAAAACTCACCCTGTATACTATTATTTGTCTTAAAATTCAATGTGCTGCTACACAAACAGTTTTTTTCCGATTTTGATAAAATTCACGAAATTTGTATCTCTTTCAATTTACCTTATTGTGCTAAAATTTCATTTTTTTTATTGCGTTATAATTTTAACACCATTAATATAAAATAAAAAAATATAAAGATGAAGCTAGAACTGCTGTAAATTTCAGTAAAATCGAACGAAGTTTGAAGCATTTAGTAAAATTAATAAAAATTACCCATGTAGAAAATATTATATTACTAGATGACCCGGTGGACTAAAACCTAAAATTCTTTATAAGCGACTATTTCCCTCGTTTTAATTTTCACCAATCACAAACGCGCAATTTTGAATTAAAAATGGTTTCTAGGTGAAAAAACTGTGTGATAGCACCTGTCAGCAGTTTTTTCGAGTTTACCCGCGGCAAAACTTGACAGCTGTTGTCACCAAAAATTGAAATTTATATTTTAATTGTTAACTGTTACTCATGAAATAGTCTTGTCAAATACCATTGGGGCATCTAATTTTTCCTGTGAAAAAAATCGAAAAAACACAATGCTAAGTAATATTTTTTAACAAAAAGCATTCGTGCAGGTGCAAAAATCCTCCTCTTCGACTCGGATTTTTGTTGCCACCAGCACTCATGCTTCTTGTTAAAATATTACTTAGCAACGCGTTTTTTCGATTTTTTTCTGAAAAATTAGATGCCCTTATGATATTACTTACGGATTTATTCCTTATGAACCTTACAACTCAAATTAATTGAACACTGTAAAACGACACGGAATTTTTTTCACATTTACTCAAATCTGTCAAACTTCCCTTGAAAACTTTACTATTTAAACTAATTTAAGCAATTGAGATCTTTACTATTTAAACAAATTTCTTGCTAAAACAATTGAATGAATGAATTTGTGGTTATGTTTTTTCATTTAATTTGAAGCGCAGCTACGAACGCCATCTATTCAAATTAATCCAAAGTTAAACGAATTTCGATTTTTTTTATTTTTCGGCTGTGCCTTTCGGTTTTTCCTAATGTATTTTTATTTAAATAACCTCTGTATTGAGGCGAACAAAAAAAATATAGTAAATAAAAACTAAACTTATTTAACTTTTTTTCTTACCTGTAAGTGTCAGCGATGGACATGGGCGGCGCGATGGGCGAATACATCGAAGCGGTGTTGTTGAAGCCCTGCAACCTGGGCGGCGACGAGGCCGGTCCTGGATGCTCGGCAGGGGCGGGCGCCCCGCGCCTCTGGTTCCTCAGCTTCTCTTCGCGTCGCCACTTGGCCCTGCGGTTCGAGAACCACACTTGGATTCTGGCCTCGGGCAGGCCGATCTTGGCCGCGAGCCGTTCCCGGGCGAACACGTCCGGATAGTGGGTCCTCTCGAACTCTTTAAAAGGGCAAAAGAACCCATATTTAAACAACAATCATTTCAAATCATAATAAAATAAATAAATTTTATGAAAGGGTCCAATCGACCTCCGCGACGGTGCTTTTTTAAATATTATTTAGTTGCTGCTGAGGAGCAGTAGACACATCTTAAAATGTATAATTGGTTGCATACAATACTCGTATTAAATCGGCAGTAAAGTTCTACTTTACTGCCGATTTCGGATAAATGTTACTTTTTTAGACGATTAACCAAAAATATTTAAAAAAATATCCACTGTTTTAGCGCACAGTGGGAAAAACTAAAAAAATTTTTTTATAAATTTATTTGATTTAGGTTTTTCTCAATGTACACTCACAGGCAAAATAATCCATCCACACAAATTTTCGATGAATTTCAATCGCAACTAACTTTTTTATTTGATTTCGGATTTAAACGAATATTAAAGAATATTGTAGATAAATTAATGGACAATCGCCCACATTTTAAAAAATTTCTAAAAAATAGACGTACGTTTATAATATACAGGTTTAAACAAAAAGATGTTTTTTACAATAATTTTAAGACACTCTGTAGAGTGGCAAAACCGTATATTGTTCTAAATTAAGTTTTATTTATTAAGTCACATCTACTCTTAACAGTTTTGTTTTTGGTTCACCTCGATATATTTATTTTTGTGGAAAATATGGATTTTTTTAGAAAACATTGCAATTTTCAATATTTTTCTGTATGAAGAACTAAGGTTGCTATGGTCCATCCATAGGCTATGGAGAATGACAGTGACAGTTTTGTTGAATCATCCCATACTTTGACAAGTCATACACGGCTTTCAAAAGCTATCAAATTGTTTTTTGCAAATAAATGTTTAAATTTTGAGGTGTCTTCTTACTTTAAAAAATGGATATGTCTCCGACTGATGTTGCCAGAGCCATTAATTTAATCCAGGATGGACGGTCACAGTATTACTTGGCAAGTGTTTTAAACGTCACAAGAAGTAAAGTACAAAGGGCAACATCAGTCGGAGACATTTTTAAAAGTAAGAAGACACCTTAAAATTAACACATTAATTTACAAAAAACAATTTGATAGCTTTTGAAAGCTGTATTTGACATGTCCAAGTATGGGATGATTCAACAAAACTGTCACTGTCATCTTCCATAGGCTATAGATGGACCATAGCAACCTTAGTTCTTCATACAGAAAAAATATTGGAAATTGCATTGTTTTTTTTTTAAATCCATATTTTCCACAAAACTAAATATATCAAGGTGAACCAAAAATAGATCTGACTTGATAATTAAAACTTAATTTAGAACAATATACGGTTTTGCCACTCTACAGAGTGTCTTATGGTAAAAAACATCTTTTTGTTTAAACCTGTATATTATAAACGTACGTGTATTTTTTAGTAATTTTTAAAATGTGAGCGATTCTTCATTAATATATATCTACAATATTCTATAATATTTGTTTAAATCCGAAATCAAACAAAAAAGTTATTTGCCATTGAAATTCATCGAAAATTTGTGTGGATCGATTATTTTGCCTGTGAGTGTACATTGAGAAAAACCTAAATCAAATAAATTTATAAAAAAAAATTGTTCAGTTTTTCCCACTGTGCGCTAAAACAGTGGATATTTTTTAAAAAATTTTGGTTAATCGTCTAAAAAAGTAACTTTTATCCGAAATCGGCAGTAAAGTAAAAGAAATCGGCAGTAAAGTAGAACTTACTGCCGATTTAATACGAGTATTGTATGCAACCCATTATACATTTTAAGATGTGTCTACTCCCAGACCGCAAAATCACATTCCCTGCACATGTCAGGAATATTCCCAGGAATATTCCAATCGTCCCAGAATATTCCCAGGAATATTCCTGGCATAATCAAATGTCCGCTTTTTGGTTAACCCAGGCATCATAAAAAGAATATTCCATATATCTGCCTGCAGAAGACTCAAAGATTGTTAGGGGAATATTCCTTGATATAATTTGGGGATTATTCCCAGCCCTTATTGCCTCTTATACCCAGGAACTTAACTTAAGTATAGCCATTATTGAGTTACTGAGTAGATCATGACTGCAGTCCCACTCTAATCACTGTTTGGCTGTGCCATCACAGACGCACATCTCCAACTAATATTATTAACCTATGGGTATATATAGTTATCAAGCGTGCGTAAGCAACGGTGAGAGGTATTGCAACTAAACTAATGAATATTCACTGGGAATATTCTTAGATGATGCTTGGAAGTTTTAGAGGATCATTCTAGGAATATTCCCAATGAATATTCCTAGAATGAAGCGGATTATTCCTAGGCGATAGGGAATATTCCTGGAATATTTTCGAACCTTCATTGCAGTCTGGGCTGGTCCTCAGCAACAACTAAATAATATTTAAAAAGCACCGTTGCGGAGGTCGATTTCATAAAATGTTGTTTAATAAAAATAATAAGTTAATTTTAATAATTTGATTAAAAAATCGCCGCGGCGAGCAAATATATAATAACCGTCGCAACAAACAGTATACGTAGGCACTTCCTAAATTCAAATGACATTTGATTTGATCACCAAATAAAATTTAATTTAATCATCAATATTAATTATTATACAGGTTTTTATGTAATTAATGTTATATATTAAACTGGGTTGTTCCTTAGGGTCCATAAAGAAGCACCTGAAACTTTTTTTTTCTAAATTCCAAAGACTAAAAATAATTTATAATAACCTTTATCCTACCAAAAAGTACGCCACTGATCGACTAGGAACTTTAGACTAATCAGGTTGCTTTATTTAATTTATTATGTTATGGTTGGTAACAACCAAATTCTGTCAAAAAAGTTGACAAACATTGTTTAAATTTAGCTTAATTACAAAAATGACAAAATTAACAATGGAAATTGTCAATTTGGGGTTTTTATTAATTGTTAGTTATGTCATTTTTGTACTGAAGGTCAATTCAAACAAAATCTGCCAACTTTTATGACAGAATCTATAGTGCATTTATTTCAAATTTTAGGTTATGTGCTCAAATTCTAAATATCTTAACTAAGGGAAGTGCTTTTGGATTTATTTACACAAATTAAATGTTTAAAGTTTAACCTGTGAACTGGTCCCAATTTCATCTGAGTAAACAGAAAGGAAAAAACCGATGAAAAAATTAATTTTGTGGTTATGGATTTTGTAAAATAGGTATTAAATTGTCTAATTATTACTTTACATCTGACAACGCGCAGCTACTTTGTTGGTTGGTATCTATGTAATCACAGAATACAAGTGTGCAGAGCTAAACCAAGTGTGTAACCAGTGGCGTATCACAAAAAATATAAAAAACTTCTAATGCATATTTTTTCTTTATCTTTAGAAAAATATTTTTTTAAATATTTTCCCTTTACTCCTTATGTCAAAAGGTATATTCAGTATTTTAATATATAACATTAATTACATAACACCCTGTATAGTATTATTAAATGGATTTCGGATAAAATTTAATATGCACCTCGGCATTAAAGTCAGTTTTTATCACATTCGTGATAAAAAATACGACTTTACTGCCATGATATAACTATTCTGCCCAACTATGGAGAAAGGCAGTAACTGCTAAACAAGAAATTTGTGGAAAATTAGCATAAACTACATTTTTATGAAAATCAGTAGGTATTTAACTGATTTATTTAACATATAAGATAGTTTACTGCATTTCTTTGTTGAATTAAGATACAAAATGTCCATAGCTTTATCATAGCACAAGAAAACGCCTTTAGAATTTTTTTGTAGTTACTGCCTTTCTTCATAGTACGGCAGTATTAATAATAATAATAATAATGATAGAAAAATCAGGTACAAATATCGAATAAAAATCACATCAGGCGAATATATAAAACAAACTCAAAACATTATCAATACAAACAATAGAACACAGTTTACAATGACTTATAGTCTAAATATTCTTTAACAGAGTAAAAAGAATTTTCCTGTAACAAAATTTTAACTTTTTGTCAAAATAGGTTAGAGTTTAATGTTTTTATTTTTTCTGGTAATTTTCTATATAGTTTTATGCCAGCATATGCTGGAGAACTTTCGGTTTTTTTTGTTTTGTGTTTTTGTATAATCAGCTCATTTCGATTTCTAGTTAAATAATTGTGACTGTCAGATCCCACTTCATGCTTAATATATAACAAGCACAAATATATACATACAGGGAAAAGTAAGAATTCTTTTCTGCTGAAACGTCTTTTTACATGATTGAACATAATTAAGGCCAAAAATTAAACGAATGATTTTCTTTTGAGCAGTGAAAATTCGCCCGCTTTCTACGCAATCTCCCCATAATATTATATTATATGGCAAATGACTATAGGCTAAAGAATAATAAACATTTAATTAACAATTGATCCTCGTTAAGTATATTTTTTAAATTTAGTATAGCAAAGTATGATTTATTTATTTTACTTACATATTAATAAAGCAAATAAAGCATTAATTACGGTAAAAATCTTACCTTTTTCTAAGCTATCTATCTGATCATTGGTGAAGGAAGTCCTATTTCTTTGTAATTTCCGTTTCAATCGTAACCTCGCTTGGTCGTCATCGGGTCCTATACTGGACCCAGCGTTCGAATTGTCCCCCGAATTTGTCTCGTCAGAATGAATTCCATCCAAATCTATAACAGGAAAAATTAGAAATATACTCAACTGTGTACTATATTTTTTCTTTTTTTTACTGTGTAGATACTATATTTTTTACTGTGTACTAAATTAATATTAATATTTTTTTACTGTGTACTAAATTAAAAAAAAATTTAATGTTTTTGCTAAATTAAAAAAACATTTAATGTTTTTTTAATTTATTACACAGTAAAAAAATATTTGTTAATTATCACACTACAAAGAAATTTATTTTCTTCGTAAAACTGCAAACTCTATGTAGATAATTGAAATATGGTTATATGTTAATATTTTGTATTCATTCTTGAACAAAATATCGCTTTCCTATTTTTGTCTTAAATAAACCAGTAAATACGAATCCTGACATACTTAGTTTTTATCAGAGAGCCAGCAAACTTGAGAGCCGCATCTTTCACGAAAATAATATTTCCCATTTTTCCCGTCGTGCCGAACATAAATCTTCGCTGTACGTGAGATATCCGTGCCGGCTTCGCTTCTCCGCCTATGAGATCGGTGACTCTTTCCTTGGCCTTATCAACAGTTTCTGGTTGGCTGCGTCCGACCGTAACGTGAATCGGTATGTCTTATCTTGCAGCCGCGGCCCACCCACGCCAGCCAGCCGAGCTCCCCTCGCAAGGGGGGAAGTCCCTATGCTGCACTATACTTTCCTAATTTATTATTAAAATCTCGCTCGGAGATAATGGATTCCCTGCTCGAGGGTCTTCATGATGTTCACCTTAATTCCTTAATTTGCCGATATTTTTAGTTTAGATTATTAAAAGTGGAAAATTTACAGTTTTTAAAAATGTTTTATAGTTTTTATTAAAAGACTTTAATTGGGTTTTGATAAAATAAAAAAGTGTTTAATTTAATCTTAATACGCATTTGTTGTAAGCAAAAGTACTAAAAAGTACTAAACAGGTTCCAATGTTATAATGTTTTTGTTTTTGTCAGATAGTTATAGTAATTTTACAATTCTGTATTGTAGAATTGATTTGAAATTATGTTAAATTTATATACATATTCGGAATGTAATTTTACTAATACAATCAATAAAATTACTAACCAAAATTTGCTATTTGAATTACAATATACAAATACAACTATAAAAATCATTATTTATTTTATACAACTTCTGTTTGCATTTTTACCTTATATCATTTTAATCATGTATAGACTGTTACATTTTTTGTAAATTACAATTGTTTTGCAAAACAAAGGATGAGTAAAATTACAAAATTAAAATACAACTTGAGTAATCTTCCAAGACATGTTGGGAAATCTACTAAGATAAGTTGTATATGTATAAATCCTACATGCATTGTAATTTTACTAAACCGGTTGACAGTTTCTAATAAAAATCATCTCCGATTTACAAACGTTGTTTGTAATTTGATTAGCTATAATGTTATGTAAAATGCATAGTATGTACCGATTGCGAGAATCACGTGATGTTCTTACATCTCGCCTCGGTTGACTTAGGTGGACAATATATAAGATCAGGTGTCTTTCGTTTTTGGTGTGTTCTATTACACCAAATTGACCGACATTGATAAGACCCAAAATAGGTATATCTGTCTAGCTGTCTGTCGATATTTGAAGTTGGTGGAAGTACTTAAAACAAAAACTCTGGCGAGGTGAAGGTTCTATTTTTTTTAATCTTTAGAGTAATGGGTCAAGAAAGTTTCTTGAAGAAACTAAACAAATTGCAGGTTTTTTTTTTCGAATAATACAATACCATTCGTAAATTACTAAATATTTTTAGTGTAATTTGTTGTAAAATAACAATATTTGTATTGTTATATTGCAAAATGAATTTACTTCAGTTCAGTAAAATTGTAAAATATGTTTTGTAATTTTCTTAGGTAAACTGAGTTGAAATGAATTGTACAGTATAATTACAATACACTATTTTACAATTACTAAACATATTTAGTATTTTTTTTAGCAAAATTACCTGTATAGTAATATTGAATAAATTTCAACAAACGTTTTTTAATTTTCCTAAATTGATTTGTAATAAATCGTGTAGTGAATTTACAAAACTGAGTATTATTATTTCTATATTGTGGTGCGTAAACATGTTTAGTAAAATTACAATAGAAATTTTTAACAGTGCAATAAAAAACATTTTTTTAGAAATAAAAATGTCTAAATCACAAACTTTTAAAATTAATAATACCCAAAACTATCATCCCAAAAAGAATAAATCTTTAATGGCAAACATGTCAAAAACCGTTTACCTATTCTGATTTATTTATTTACCTAGGCTTTCGACACTTCACCTTGTGGCATATGCCACGCAAATAATAGATAGACACACAGAAATAAACTTAAATCCCCATTTAGAAAAAACGTGTAAACATACCGAAATTTCACAGAAAGTCCGTTTTTATTACCCTTGAAACTAGAAATACAAGGGCATTTGTCCGGAGCAAGCACATGTCCCTTGATTTTGCGAAGTCGCCGGCAAATGTTTTACGTTTGTCCGTTGAAGCATGAGCGGCTAGATTGTGAGCATAATTGAAAAAGGTGCCCATTTAATGGGGGATTTTCGAATAAAATATATGTGTGCAATGACGCGAACATTGAAAAAATTAATACTTAGTTCTGCACACCTTTTTGCTAAAATGTGTCGCTAACGTTTCCAATATGGCTTCATTGAAATTACCTAGTTTACTGTCAAGTTTTCATATATGATATACAAGCAAAGGTTGCACAGAAAATTCAAGGAGGGTTTTAAAAACTTGAATAAACGTTCTACAAGAACTTGCTATTGTTTTTTTGAAGAAAAAAAATTTCCATACTCTACATGATTTTGAAAAATCAACAAAACAATGAAAAAAAAACCTGAAAAAAACAAAAAAAGTACCGTTTTTTTCATGTAAAATCTATATAGCACCTGGGGTTAAAAAAAACACGACTTTTCATAAGTAGTAGTTGTATTGTGGACATTCAATCACCAAATCACTTATTGTTATAATTATTGCACACTTAGTCAGCAAAAAGCAAACAAAGCAGAGTTAAGTGCCCACACTCCAAACTAGTCTTCAGTTTCTCCAAGGGTCCTGCAGTACCCTCGTGCATTTTTACGGCCGTAAAATCGGACACAATGAATAAAAATAACGTACGCCATTTGTAATATAATAATGTTAATATTGATATATCAATGCCGTGGCATAGGGGCGGAGAAGCTAGTGCTAGAAAGGGTGTTTCGGAAATACAGTGCCAGTATGTATCGGTTATGAAATATAAGCTGCCCCAAGCACAAAAGAATCATCCAGCAAATTAGTATTGTCGGTAACAAGGCTCCGTGAATTGTGCTCTAATAAAGCATGACTAAACGTCACCGGGGGTATAGGACAATCGTCCTATATTCGTATACGTTGTACGAATTCATGATTCGGATGTTGTGTAGCAAAATTGGGGCATTGCTTTATTTTTGCAAATGCATAGTTTTATCTATTTACACTGTAATATCCATCCACACTGTAAAAAATATAATTATAATTGGAAAATCCCAATAAATTACCATTATTCTTTTATTAATAATTCCAATATTTGAATTACATGTAAATTTTTGTAAAATAAACCGTTTACAAAAATCGTATACGTATACGACACGTAGACTCCTATAGGAGTCTGGAAACAAATACACCACTAAAGTGCATCTTACTTACATGAACATGATAGGAAAATTTACATTTTTGTATATATAATTACAGATATGTTTGTGAATACACAAAAGTTTTTGTAAATGTACAGAAAATACAGTATTTTTTTGTGAAATTACAATAATTTAACGATTTTTGTAAACGGTTTATTTTACAAAAATTTACATGTAATTCAAATATTGGAATTAATAATAAAAGAATAATGGTAATTTATTGGGATTTTCCAATTATTTTTTACAGTGTGGATGGATATTACAGTGTAAATAGATAAAACTATGCATTTGCAAAAATAAAGCAATGCCCCAATTTTGCTACACAACAACCGAATCATGAATTCGTGATATGTTTAAGAAGTGATATTTTTATAATTCTGGTAAGTATGTGATAGTTTTTATTTAACAAGTGTTTTTTCTTGCATTTTTTGTACATGTACTTTTAAATATTGAAAAGTATAATGCCCACCAGTATTTTCATAGGACTACAGGCAAGAATTTTGAGTGTTTATACACAGACTGTAATCTAGTGTTAAATTATAATTATTAAATTATAATTCATTTCATTCCCATATACAAAGTATTCATAAAAAGCCTAAGCAACAACATTATGTTCACTAACAAATTCATATTTTATCTAGTATTTTTTTTTTAATTTTAAAAATATAAAAGCCATAAAATAATTAGGTATATTTTTATATTTCTAAAATAACCTTAGGTAGGTACTTAAAAGTTCATTATATAATATATTATGTTTTAAAAAGGACATACTGTTTATGGTAAATGTATATATTAAAATTTTATACAATACATTTTTACTTACTATTTTAAAAAATGTTTTTTAAGAATATTTTAATTGTTATGTATATATTGTACATTATTATGTAAGTAAAATTACATGAAATAATAAGTAAAATAGTTTAAAATTATAAAATAATTACATAAACAAGAATGTAAAATATAATATTAATATATATATATATATATATTATGTATATTATGTATCAAGTTTGATAAACGCCATTTTATACACGAATTTAATTTAGGTACGAGCGAGCTTGCGAGCGAGTGCTTAAATTATTGCGTGTATAGAAAAGTTTATAAACGAGGTGCATACTATACTTTTTCTACGACAGTTTTTACAGTGAAAGTAAAGAAAATGTTTTATGAGCACTTTACAGAAGAGTCCGTGCCCAAATTTAAGTTATAGTTTACTACCGGCGAAATTAAAAGGTCCGTACAATGTTCATATAAACTTTTCAAATATTGGCGTTAAGAAACTATTTAATACTTTTGTATTTTTGTAAGTATTTAGATAATAAAATAATT